TACTCCTTAACCTCTCCACCTCCTCCTTCTTACTGCAAAAGAAACATTAAACTAACTAGAGCTGTACACTGGGAAGCAGTAGAGCGTTGTGATGCAGTTGTGCAGTCTTACCTTTTTTTTTAATGGAAAACTTTGGAAGATTAATATGGGGGTGGCCATGGACCATGGGGACACAGCATGAGAAGCTGCCACAGAAGAGGTTGGGGGGAAATGGACAGCCAGCGGTCGATGCATTCAGTTGTTTTCACGTCCAGATTGTCAAAGCAATGAAACAAGACTCAACTGATAATTCTTCAGAGGAACACATTTCTAAAAAGAAAACAAAAGTCGCTTTATACTAACATCATATCTTGAGTATTTACAATGCAGTTTTGTCACCTTTCTGCTTTGTTAGTGTCTGGAAGTAGAAATAAGTTTTAGCAATAAAATAATAATAATAATGAAATAATAATAATAATGAACTCCTGGTAGTTTAGAGAGCTTCCTGAATTTTTTCTAGATGTTCTCTGAATGGATCTATGTTGCACTCCTTTGCTCTTGAATCTCTGCCAGTACTGCTATGTTGTTGTAGAGAATTAATAAAATCTATAGGATTAAAAGCATGGCTAATGGACAGTGGAATGTGTTCTCAGTAAAATAATCTCTGCTCCTTAAACAAAAAAAATCACCTGGAACCTTATCTGTATATAGGATCTAGCATGATTCTAAACTCGTGAGAAAAGAGATTTGCAGTGTGCTTATTGTCTCTTTTAATTCTTGCTTCAGCAGTACCTTGAGATGGTGGTGGGGAAAACCTTGTGTAAAGGGAAATAAATGTTATAATTGAGATATGATTATGCTTCATGACACTTCTGCAGAAAGCTCATGTGCCGTTGCCTTTTGCAACCACCAAACAAGTGGATCAAAACCTTAAGTTGGTTATGAAGATAGTCGTGGCTGTTTTGTGAAGCATCACGGTTAAGGAGTATTTACGGAAGAGGCAACCATTTAAATCTGTCCAAAAGAGTGTGTGGGATGTGGTTCACAATGTTACCTGCAAGAAGGCTTTCTGTACTAGAGATCATAACATGCTTAGATTCATTTTTCTTGCAGGAACTGCAAAATTTTCCAACTCGATTGGAAATACAGCATAGCTACAGTAGGGAAGCTTGTTAAAGCTAAAAGAGGCAACTAGTAGCAAAGTACCACCTGCCGAGTGAAGATGCCATGCTGGAGGTACGGACCAAAAGCATGCCAGCTATCACGGGAAGTGTGAAAGGAAGCTGGCATGGCTGAACATCAGGCAAAGATAGTTATTAGAAAGCTGAAGTAGTATCCAAATGAGGAAAATTGTAAGGATATAAAATGCGGCAAGTAGAATATAAAAGCATAAGATAGAACAAAAGAACTTGAGGAATAAATTTTGACAAGTCTTTAATAATAACTGTCTTTCAGCACATTAGTAGTAGCAAATCTACCACAAGCCGTAGGGCCACGAGATGATCACTTTATAAAAGAAACTTTAAGAAGATAAGGTGATAGCAGAAAACCTTTGCTTTGCATCTGTGTTCGTTGTTGAAAATCTTGGAAAGGTTGCCCTGCCAAGAACCTTTTATGGGTAACTCATCAGAGGAACTCTCTCTCAAATCAGTGTTTAAAAGTTTAGAGAACAAATGGACAACATGAAAGCAAGTTGCTAGAACCAGACAATGTTCATCCAATAACTCTAGAGAAAGTGAGGGGTGAAGTAGTTTTACTAACTGGTACATAGTGACTCCTTTAGCTAGACACCTTTAGGTCAGTGGATATAAATGCAGTATTAAAAGGACGTTTACTCAGGATGTTGTCTATGCTGATTAGAAACTACAGTAATGTACAGAGTTCGTGGACATGTGGTAATCATAATAGATGGTGGAAAGGTCAACAGAGCTTTGTGAAAAGTTGTGCCTTAAACCTTTTGGAGCTTACTGAAGGAGTTAGCAAGAATACATGTAAGGAAGTTCCAATTTGCTATGGTAGATAGGATTTCCAGAAGTCATTCGGTAGCCTTCTGCATGAGAGGGGTAAGTCCTCATATACATAATTAGTTAATAATTAGAGACAAGAAATGAAGTGGATAGGATGCTTTTCAGAGGTGAGTAGTAGCTGTTACAAAAATATTCAGGACAGAAGAATTGAGACCCACTTTTGAGTAATTGCAGTTAAGTGCAGAGCGGATGAGGAGGTGGCAGGTAAGCTGAAGCGAGGCATGTGGAACCTGTAACTCCTTGCAGGAAGGAACACTGGTTTGGGATTAGAATAGAGAGTTCTGTGGGAACACCAATTTAGGCTCAGAAAGATTAATTCTATAAATTGTTAGGATAACAACAGAGAATAAAACAAAACCAGCCATTGTCTAGGTCCACGGTGCATTTGCATTTAACTGTTGTAGTGGCGCAGGCTTGGGAGCGCCCTGGGAAGAACAGTGCTTACTTCTGTGTATATCTGGGTGGCTGACATGTTTGTTTTAGTGTAGGTAATAACACTTTTTTGGTGTGTGTTTTGGGTTTTTTGGGGTTTTTTCCCAGAGGTCTTCTGAATGATAGAGTAGCTTCGATAAATATCTCAGGTTCTTTGCTGTTCAAAGAAATGTTGTGATGTGTTTCGTGTGATCAGATGTAGTACTGGAAAGGGCTGTGCTTAGCATGAGATCTACCACTACACTCAACACCTGAGGATATATCTATTTCAAAGCCTCTGGAAAAAGTAAAGACAGGAGCAAGGATTATTAAACTGTAGAGTAAACTTGGCAACGTCAACTAGGGCACTTGGATCTCTTTGATTTCCTCTGCGTGCAGGGCCTCATGAGTGCTGGGATTTATGCAAGGGGCAAGAGTCGGCCATGTGGAGATTGCTGGGGAACTAAAATTTGAATCTGGAGTCGGTGCTCAGACCAGTGATGGAGTTGCATGAGCAGCCAGTATCCTGCAGTTTGGTAGGCTGGAGTGGAGGACAGAACTCTGATGGCTAAGGAAAATATTTGAGGATGTGAATTTACAATAGTTTGAACAGATCGATGTTGCAGCGGTGGTGTAGCCACCTGGTTAACAGCTGCAGTCCCTTTCTTCCTTCCCTTTCGCCTTATGTTGTTACTGGAGCTTTTCTTCCATCCCAGAGTGTTTAGGGAGCTGTACCAAAGACTAATCTTTCTGAAAATATAAAATAAAAAAAGCAAAGCAAATTATTTAGCTTCCTGAACAATCTGTTTCTGGGACAAACAGATGCCAACATAAGAGAGAGGAGCGCATGAAGGGGGAGAAAGAGGAGAGAAAGGGTGATGCTTAGGACTGCTGTGACAGAAAGCTGTTCCCTTTAAGACACGTTGCTGTTCCTCGAGCATGTTTAGCCTGCACTCTGTTACAGACATGGGATACAAACTGGGTAACAAACTCTGGGTAACAAAATATATTGAGACCAGTCTCAAGACGTGTTTCTGGGTTTAAAAAAAAGAATAAAAAAAAGTTTTTATTAATTCTCCTTCAGGTAAACCTGGCAGTAGCTGTAAATTTGAATACTTAAAGATTCAAGTTTTAAGTATTTCCAGTAATATAGAGTACTTAATTTCTTTTTACAGAATATCCTTGTTTTTTCACATTTATTGTGTCCTAGTTAGTAAATCCTACTGTCCTCAAAATTTTGAAAAGCAGTGCTATATTTGAATGTCTTGTATTTTCATAATATATTTGTAACTAATAAATAGTAAAACCTGAACCTTGTAACTGTTAGCCAGCATTCAGAATTGTATTTTTATTTCTTTACAGGATCTGGAGTTTCATGGAGTAATGAGATTCTACTTTCAAGACAAAGCAGCTGGAAATTTCGCAACAAAATGTATCCGTGTCTCTAGTACTGCCACAACTCAAGATGTAATAGAAACTCTTGCAGAGAAGTTTCGACCAGACATGCGAATGTTGTCATCCCCTAAATACTCGCTTTATGAGGTGCATGTCAGCGGAGGTTAGTATTTATTCACAGTCTTTCCTGCATCCACACCACCTTCCTATCCACCCCAGCCAAAATATCTTTAGGTTTGCCACCAGCTTCTGAACCACATAAGACTTTGGGTTTTTTTTTTCCTAAGTACATTGCTACTGATTGTTACATGGGGGAGTGGTATTTCAAAATGTAAGTATGCATATCTGGCCTGCAGTTTATGTAAGTTTTGATTATGATCTATTAAATGCTGTACTTGACTCCCTGTTAATTTGTTGACATTTGTGAGAGAGTTGCTATTTTTAGAACTAGTAGGTGAAGACTAAATTTATAATGGGAGAATAGGGATGTTAAATTGGAGCATTTAAGAGTACATCCTTAGTTCTTTGACGTTGTGGGCCTTTGATAGATAGCCTTATAATGCATGTTCCTTTACTGCTAAACTGGGGGGAGTTCAACATAGTATTGTTTGGAGATCCTTTCATGTTATCTGTGAAGAACTTGGATATCTAAATAGCCTTTTGATGCTCCTAGCATTTGTGTCTCCCCACAGTAGAAAGCTTCAGGTTGGAAGGTGGTAGTGTGTGTGGTGATGGTGGAGACAGGAATAGGAGAAACTAGCTTTTTGTCGTGCTTTTTCTTTTTTGTATTTCAGAAGCTTACACAAGTGGTTTAATTACCTTAAATTCTGCTTTTGAAAGACTGAAAATAATTTAATTTGAGATAGAGAATGGAAATTTATTGGGATATGTGTCACTTTTCATGGTCTGCGAATGATGACTTGATGTGAATTATATGGGACTAGGGAAAAGTGCATGTGTTATCACTAATTTAAGCAATGAATAGGATGGGTTTTGTCTGCTTTAGGTTTCTTTAAAAATCCTTTAGCACTGTACCTGTAGTCAAAATGAAATTGTTTCCTTTACAGAGCAAGTTCCTCATGTTTAAAACGTGGCTCATAAGAGAGGCATCTCATTCAATAGGAGTGTTTCTCGTTAAATAAAATGTAACTGCAAAGACATTATTGTCTTGCTGTGCGTATATACTGTCTCCTACTTCTAGAAGGGAGATCAAATGGCAAAACTTGTTTAATTTTTCTAACCACTCTCAAATTTTTTTCATATTCTTAAAGTAGATATAATACATTAAATACACTATATGAAATTTTGTGTAGTATATATATGCATAATGGATTTTTTTTTTTTTAAATTTCATAATCTGGTTTATTTTTGTGCAGTCTTTCCAGAATGGTAGTTCTTGGGCCACAATCAGGCTGGTTAAATGTAAAATAAGGAAAGAGTATTTGGAAGTCTCGTGAAAGTTTGAAACATTGTAACTGTAGATGTAACTTCTCCTGAGTGGTAATCTTGTGTTCCCAGACTTCAATTCTGACAAAGGAGATATGCAAGACTACTTTATGTGGACCTTTAGCTCATGTAGATAGAGGGAATACGCTTAGGCTGGTTCCTGGAAAGGGGACATATATTTCTACCTCCCCAGGCTTTCTGTCCATAGACTTGACAGGGAAACATCAACTGATGTGTACTGTTCAGCAAACTTTTTGGTTTTTTTAAGAGTATAACTTGTTTCTAAGTGTCTTCGCTCTTGAAGTGCCAAGTAAGTGTTACTGCTTTTCATTTTTTTGAAGAAGAAAGAAGATTAGATGTAGATGAGAAGCCTCTTGTTGTACAATTAAACTGGAACAAAGATGATCGAGAGGGAAGATTTGTTCTCAAGAATGAAAATGATACGCTTCCTCCAAAGGTAAGTCTTTAAGGAGTATGCTAGTGGTAACAGCAGTTTTGAAATGTGTGGGACTTGCTTGTATAGCAAAACATAATTTCTACTTCTCTAATTCCTGAAAACAACTGCTGCTGCTGACCTTTGATATCTGGAGCAAGTTTTTTTAAATACTTAAAATGCATCTTCACAACACAGCATTTTTGTGGTCTTTCAGATGGCTTGTGATGCTTTGATCCATGTAGCTGTCTAGTACTGGAGCATGTAATGCCCAGAGAACTTAGAGCTTGCTTTGCTCAAGTATGATGAATTAAAAATTTCCTCAAATAGTATGTGATGCCAAACACCTAGTAGGTAATCCTATCTCTTGCAGAGTCTTTAAAAGGGGATGCCAGAGGGAATTGAATAACTACAAATTGTTACCTCCCTAGGTAACATTCTGTTCCTTAACAAAACTGATGGGAGACTCTTTCCTTTTTGGGGAGGGTTTTTTTTTTTCCTTCCAAATGCAAAATGGGGTACATGCAAACATCAGCCATACAAAAGCTTTTTTTTTGCATTAGTCATTTAAACATTCAATTAGATCAGACTTTGGTTCCTGAAGTCATATAATTATATATATTATATCTAACTTGGATGCTTATAGCTATGGAAAACATGCTGTTCAGTGGGGGCTATTTTCAGGCAAGTTTTTCATCTTGGGCTGAGCACTAAATTTCTTTTGCTCTTGGAATTAGAGCTTGTTAATTTTAAAGATGCTTTGGTACATGAGCTATTCTTACACGACACTTTTGACTACAGGATACATCCATGTTAGCGGTGGGGAGGGAAAATTAATGATGTCTTGCACTACGTTTACCAGACTTGCTATTCCTATTCATTGAATTAAGTAATCTTCAATCTTCCTTCTCTGTGTTCTTCACTTCCTGATAGAAGCAAAAAAATCTGCATCTTCTTTCTCTCATCTTCTATTGTTTTCTCTACAGAAGGCAAATGAGCCTAGGATTACAGGTATCATGTGTATGCAAGGAGCAGGAATTGGAGAAAAGAACGCTGGAAGCACAACTCAGAAAAATACACCATAGGGGAGATGTCCTTTATAATGTTTTTCCTTCTGCAGTTTATTCTTATCTGATGTTCCAACACAGTTTTCTTGAAAATAGATTAGGTGCAGTGTTGTTTTGTGAAGTACTTTTACTGGGAGGCAGAAATTTGTTTTGCAGCCTTCAGTTAATCTTTGAGGCCAAGTAGATAGTAGGCATTATTCAAGTAGAATTCTGCTGTTTCTTCGCTTTCTTGAGTACAAGGTGCTTAATCAGTTCATACTTGCTTTGGAATATGAAATTATTTTTGCCTTCTATGTTATTCTGGAGAGTATTAGTCCCATCCATGTGTAATGGAGTATTGTTGCCTGGAGTATTGTTTTTGTGTTAGTGATACTATGTATTAATCAGATTTATCTGGAAAGTTAAAACCAATACTAACTTTTCATTGGACTAAAAATGATGGAAGTTGTTTGAAACTCATTTATTTCAGAAGGCTCAGAGTAATGGCCCTGAAAAACAAGAAAAAGAGGGAGTAATTCAGAATTTCAAACGAACTCTCTCAAAAAAAGAAAAAAAAGAAAAAAAGAGGCGTGAAAAAGAGGCGTTGCGACAAGCATCAGATAAAGATGATAGACTTCTTCATGGGGATGATATGTAAGTGTTTTAAACTTTGATCAGTTCATATAACCTACATCTTTCTTTAAAGGATTTCCCCTCTCTACCAAATAAGTTGTTGTTTCTTTGCAATATCATCATAAAACAAAATACGTGATGGCAATTTCTATATGTACATTTTGCTTCAAGGTTTGTTTTTAAACCATGAAATAAGCTTTTTCCCACCTCTTTGCCCTTGTACAAAAATTGACACTTGCTTGGTGACATGGACTTTCCCCACTATGTTTATTTTTGAGCATTTACTCTAGGGTGGGTTTATTCCTCTCCCTGTGTTTGATTGTTCTGTCTTTTGCCAGAAAAATTAGAGTTTGCATTTCACTTTACCACCTGACTATCAGTTTGTTTTTCTCTGAGACGTATTTTGGTAACCAGTCTTCCAGGTTCTTCAACTCTTCCTCCCAAATCTCCTGTGCCTTATTCATTGAGACAGGGCAGAACATACATTAATCCTTGTACAGAAACTGGAGCACAAGGGTCAGGCATGAATAACTGTATGTAGAACTAGAAACTTGAGAAAGGTCTACATTAAATTAAACTTTGTCTCTGTACCAGATTCTGTAGGTTTCATATGTAATACACCAGAAAAAAATTCATTAACGGTGGATTTTTAACATACCCAGAAAGAAAATGAATGATGAAAACTTACTAATTGGTAACAGATTCTCAGAGATGAAAGAAATTAGTTGACTGGTTGACATATAATAGAGGATCTAGCTGCTTAGCTTGATTTTTTTTTTTTTTTAATTTTTTTTCTTTTTTTGAGTTCATTATTGTTTTTCATATGTGTAGTACTGCTCTGCATAGATATGTTTGCAGTGTTCTTCAGATGTCAGCATGATCTTTCCAGTATTCTGTGCTGTTACTTAGCTTGATCTTAATTTTTTTAAATTAAAATAGAATTGTATTTAAGTGCATTAGCAAAAGAAAGAGCATGCGCTGCAAGCACATGCTAGCTCTGCTTCCACGTGATTTGCAATATTGTAAATCAGAATAAAGTTAGGGTATAATGTAAAGTTTCTTTAAGGCCTCTCCTCCCCCTCGACCCCCAAGAGGTAGAAGGCTTCTTTTTTTCTTTGAAAACTAGCAACCATCAATACTTGCTAGTTTTCTTTGAAATTGGTTGTTGTCTATTTCAGGTGAGCGTGGGTACCTGAACAGTGTTAATACTAGCAAAAGAGAAGTTCATGTAGAAACTATCTTACAATACCTTAATTAATCTCCTATGTGTATGGATTCTACTCGCCTTTTATCCTTTATGAAGTGATGAGGAGATACGTATTTTAAGCTATTAATGGCAATTTTTTCTTTTTATTTAAACTAACTTGGCAGTGAGAATTCTCGCCTTGCAGCTGAGGTTTACAAAGATATGCCTGAGACCAGCTTCACTCGCACGATATCCAATCCTGAGGTGGTTATGAAACGGCGGCGACAGCAAAAACTAGAGAAGAGAATGCAGGAATTTCGCAGTTCTGATGGCAGACCAGACTCAGGTACTTAGATTTCTTCTGGTTAAGTTGTAAACAGTAAACTGTTTACTGAGAGAGTATTTTTAAGGCCAGCGACTCGTGTAAATTTGACTGAACTTCTGCTTTCTCCAACATTTTTTGTACTTCATGGTGTAACTGAATGGAGGATTTGTAGAGGTAAAAATCCACAGGAGTGTGTTCTGTGACGAGTGTGAGTCAAAGCTTTCAGTGATGGGCAAATTGATGGGAGAGAATACGCTCATTGATCTTGCTAACAGTGCTAAACCGGGAAAGAAGGAAGGACATAATTAGACTGACTAAACTGACAAACTAGGAAGTCTTCCGAAATAAATGTCATTCATTTTACTAAGAACAAGCTGAATGACCTGAATGTAAAAATGCAATCAGTAGCACAAATACAGGATGGCAAGGAGTGATTGTTCAGGTCTGCACAAAGGGTTCCGGTAGATCTTGTGAATATCAATGATCAAGTATTTCACATTCTTGAGGGTGGGGATACAACAAAAGTGGTTGTATAAGCATCAGCATTAAATGAATGAGTGAAGCAATGTTAGTACTGATAAAACATAAAATGATGTATTCTGTCCATGGAAAAGTAGTGAAGAAGGAGTTAGAGGTGTAGAAAACATCACCTGAGGGAAATCTTAAATGGGCTTTTTAAAGAGAGGCTAGATTCTTGAAGGTCAGCACAAACTTGCTGTCAAGATGGGAAAGGTCAGTTCTTCATCCAGTTGTTGTCACTGTTTCATTTTAACTTCAGGTAGAATGGTGAAGCACTAGGGAAAAGACTTGCTTAGAGAAATTAGGAAGGCATCACTGGAGGTTTTTTACCAATGGTGGAGACAAATCTATTTCAGGGATGTTATGTAACTTTTCATGTATTAGTGGATTGATTAGATGATTTCTGAAGGGGTTCGTTCTTATATTCTATTAGAAATATAATAAATGGCTGCATGTCTGTCTTTTTATTCCCTGGTAGCATTGTTAATTAAATTTTGTTTCCAAGGTGGGACACTGAGAATTTATGCAGACAGTTTAAAACCAAATATACCATACAAGACAATCCTGCTGTCCACTACGGATACTGCAGACTTTGCAGTTATTGAAGCACTGGAAAAATACGGTCTGGAGAAGGAAAATCCCAAGGATTATTGTATCGCTCGTGTAAGTGAAGTTACTAAGTCACAATCTTCTCATGCTTCATATTTGATTTTGTTCCTTGCAGTAGCTTTAAAACTAAATGGAAAGACTCTCGTAGTTCTGCGACTAAGTTTTGGAAGTGATTTGTCAGGTTTTTTTTTGTAAAACGACAATCTTCCAATCTTACTAAATTATTATGTGGTCTACCTGGACTTAAGCAAAGCCTTTGACACTGTCTCCCACAGCATTCTCCTGGAGAAGCTGGCGGCTCACGGCTTAGACAGGTGTACTCTTCGCTGGGTAAAAAACTGGCTGGACGGCTGAGCCCAGAGAGTTGTGGTCAATGGAGTTAAATGCAGTTGGCGGCCGGTCACGAACGGTGTTCCCCAGGGCTCAGTTTTGGGGCCGGTCCTGTTCAATATCTTTATCAACGATCTGGATGAGGGGATTGAGTGCTCCCTCAATAAGTTTGCAGACGACACCAAGCTGGGCGGGAGTGTCGATCTGCTCGAGGGTAGGAAGGCTCTGCAGAGGGATCTGGACAGGCTGGATCGATGGGCCGAGGCCAACTGTATGAGGTTCAACAAGGCCAAGTGCCGGGTCCTGCCCTTTGGCCACAACAAGCCCATGCAGCGCTACAGGCTTGGGGAAGAGTGGCTGGAAAGCTGCCCAGAGGAAAAGGAACCTGGGGGTGCTGATTGACAGCCGGCTGAACATGAGCCGGCAGTGTGCCCAGGTGGTCAAGAAGGCCAATGGCATCCCGGGGTGTATCAGAAAAAGTGTGGCCAGCAGGAGTAGGGAGGGGATCGTGCCCCTGTACTCGGCCCTGGGGAGGCCGCACCTCGAATCCTGTGTTCAGTTTTGGGCCTCTCACTACAAGAAGGACATTGAGGTGCTGGAGCGTGTCCAGAGAAGGGCAACGAAGCTGGTGAAGGGTCTGGAGCACAAGTCTGATGAGGAGCGGCTGAGGGAACTGGGACTGTTTAGCCTGGAGAAGAGGAGGCTGAGGGGAGACCTCATCGCGCTCTACAACTACCTGAAAGGAGGTTGTAGCGAGGTGGGGGTTGGTCTCTTCTGCCAAGTAACAAGCGGTAGGACGAGAGGAAATGGCCTCAAGTTGCGCCAAGGGAGGTTTAGATTGGACATTAGGAAAAACTTCTTTACTGAAAGAGTGGTCAGGCCTTGGAACAGGCTGCCGAGGGAAGTGGTGGAGTCACCATCCCTGGAAGTATTTAAAAGACGTGTAGATGAGGCGCTTAGGGACATGGTTTAGTGGGCATGGTGGTGTTGGATTGACGGTTGGACTTGATGATCTTAGAGGTCTTTTCCAACCTTAATGATTCTATGATTCTATGATTCTATTACTCGCTATATAGATAAACATTAATGATGAAAGTAACATATTTCTGTATTTGGCACTGTAGTTTTATACCACTAAGTGTGCTTATGGTTCGCAGAATGTATAAACTAATAGTTAATCCTGCGGATACCTAAATTTGTGCTGTTTGCGCAGAAAACTATTCCCCTGAACTAAGAGCGTCTGCTCAGAGGCAAAAGTGCTGAGTCCAAACTCCATTATAAAAGGTATATGTTATATGCTGTTGCCTTATGCCTTTCAGTGGTAGCTTACTCTTACTACACATCAGAAAAGATTAAACATTTAAGTGAAACTTATGCTTATTTTCAGAATTTAGTTATTTTAGGAGTTCTAAATGAATTGTATAGAATTGCTGTTTCTTAGAGTGTATGGCTTTATCAAAAAGTCCCATGGGCAGTACTGATTAAAGGTTACAAACTTCTGTCCATATCATCTTCTGAAGGAGAACAGTGAGACTTGAAAACATTTGATCCTTGTTTGAGCCCAGTCTTTGATTACATTTCTGGCTATTACTTGTCTAATAAACTTGGATTTATTGCTCCTTAAAATGGTGAAAGAAAGGGAAAAATGTTTGTGTCTCATCATATTGTGCTCTCTTCCCCTGCTCCTTCTCCAGTGCTTAAAGTGCCACTGGAAAACAGTAAGGAAGCTTATACTATTTGCTATTCCGCGCACTTTCTAGCTGCTCTAAAGGATGTGGATATATCTTTGGTCTTAAAGTTGTTTTTCATGGTATCTTTGAGTAACCTTAGTTACTTTTGCTGTGCCTACAGCCTCTGGTGGTATAATTAACTGGGAATTGATGTGTTGCTCTAATGCTGTTCTGATTAGTAATAAGGAAACTGTACGGTGGTAGTGCTTTTGTAGTTTCGTAACAGTGAACTAATCTTAGTTTTTATTGTTTCAACAGTTTTGTCTTCTTTCTAGACATATTTTTAATGAGGTTCTGGACACGTTATCTTGTCTTCATTAACCTGTAATAGGGGTCCCAACTGCGAAAGTTAATTTTACTTAACTTCAGTAAAATTTTACGTAGGTTTTTATTATAGAGGGGAATAATTTTGTTAGTAATAGGGTTTTTTTAATGACACAGTGTCGTGGTTTAACTCCAGCCGGCCACTGAGCACCACGCAGCCGCTCGCTCACTCCCCCTGGGTGGGATGGGGGAAAGAATCAGAAGGGTAAAAGTGAGGAAACTTGTGGGTTTAGATAAAGACAGTTTAATAGGGAAAGCAAAAGCCACGCACGCAAGCAAAGCAAAACAAGGAATTCATTCACTACTTTCCATCAGCAGGCAGGTGTTCAGCCACCTCCAGGAAAGCAGGGCTCCATCACGCGTAACGGTTACTTGGGAAGACAAACGCCATCACTCCGAACGTCCCCGCCTCCTTCTTCTTCGCCCAGCCTTATATGCTGAGCATGACGTCATATGGTATGGAATAGCCCATTGGCCAGCTGGGCCAGCCATCCCGGCCACACTCCCTCCCAGCCCCCCACGCACTTGGCAGGGCACGGGAAGATGAAAAGTCCTTTACTAGTGTACACATTACTTAGCAACAACTAAAACATTAGTGTGTTATCAACACTATTCTCATACTACATCCAAAACATAGCACTATACCAGTTAATAGGAAGAAAATCAACTCCATCCCAGCTGAAACCAGGACACACAGCATATTAAAAATTGATTCTCAGTTTTGGCTGTGAAGTATTTTCTATGTGTAGTTTTAATTACGACAGTTATCTTCATATATATTGTATATTCTATCATTATCATTATTATTTTCCCTTTTTCTGTTCTATTAACTGTCTTTATCTCAACCCACGAGCTTTTCTCACTCTTACCCTTCCAATTCTCTCCCCGTCCCACTGGGGGAGGGGGGGAGTGAGCAAGCGGCTGTGTGGTATTTGGCTGCCTGCCAGGTTAAACCACGACAGTCCCATAAATGAAATTAATGATTTTCAGTCATTGATCTTATTAAATAGGCTGCTGACTTAACACGCTCGTTTTTCTGCTGGTTTGAGAGAATTGTGGGCTACAGCAGAGAAATTGTGACTGAATTTGGAAGGTGGTTTTGCATCAGTCTGTTTAGTTCACAGTTAGAGGGTATTATGATGTATTATGAAATATTTACATTTTAGGGAATTTATTGAACTGATTGCACACTTACCAGGAAAACTATTGCAAGTCACTGTTGTGGTAGTGGTGGTGGTGTTCTTTCTCGCCTCCCCTTGTTCTCTGATCTTGTGTGGGGATGTTTAATGTAGAAAATAGTCTGAGGAATGTTGCTTTGATCTTGGGAAAGATTAACAAAGTCTTTGCTGTGAAGCAAATTGATTTAAATTAGTTTTCTGGAAAGCACTTCCGGAAAATATTTTGTCTTTTCTGAGCAACATGTCTTCTTGATATAGTAAGTTTCTATACTGACAAAAGTTCTATGTTTATGTATACGTTTGAAATACGGGAGTGGTCTTCATTGGCTAATAGCAGATCTTTTTTATACCTTTAAGTGTAGAAGACCTTACTGTTTTGCTCACCATCATTCATTGTAGTTGGCCAAAATCTGCTTGGCCTTTTTCAGTGCCTCTGCTGATACAGTGCTTGAGTTTTAAATATGATGATTCTTGCTTTTTTTTTTTAAAAAAAAGTTGATTATTTTTAACCTAACTTTAAAATCTCCTTTTGGCCAAATATTTTATGAAGTTGCTTTCCTTGCTGGAAACATTAAAATATCCTAGCTTTAGCTTGATGTGTCTTTCATCACTGTTTTCTTTTTTGGAATGAATACAGTGCTAAGTAGGTGTCATGGCCATTGGTACTCCTTTACACTGAAGTCTCACAGCTGTTCTTAACGCCTCATGGGCTTTTACCCCTGTTCTTCTGATACTTTACAGTGTTCTGTGGAAGAGAAATCTATCTTGCACGTTCCTATTCTTTACTTTTTGTTGGGTTTAAAATAGTGTACAGTGGAACATAAAACTTCAGTTTCTTGATGGTTGGGATTTTTAAATGTTTTGTTCTGTTTGGGTGGCAGGTGAAGTGTTTTCAAAGATGACTTAAGCAGTTGACATTTACGTAACTATTAAGATGGATTTTAAGTTACATGAGAAGATCTTTATAAGGCTGCATAAGTACCTGTAATGAAGTTCACTCACTTCTAAAGTTTCAGTTAAAAGAGCACTGTAAGAATTTTTCTTAACACTTACCATTAACAACTTTTATTGTAAATGGCTGTTTCCTGTTGCTTGCTTTCATACCCTGGTTTGTGGAATATCAGGCTGCACCTTTATGCCCACTTCTAAAGTGCTTTTCTATGTAATCAAGAAAATACAAGTTTGTTCCAATATACATTTTGTTTGTTTCAGTTTGCTTGGTTTGAGTTTCCCTGAATAATACAGAGTTCACTACACATCTCTCAAGATGTCAAATTAATTAGACAGTCTTCCAAGCTACCTCTGCATATTCACTTAGGGCATAAGACTTGAGGCATGCGGCAAACCGGTTAACCCTTAAAAGTAGAATTTTGATTAGACTTTCATTTTAGCATGCTCTTATTTTTTGCTCGAGGATAAGGCATAAATAACTTTATGTAATGTCAAGCAAAAACATGCGGTTCATGGTGATAAGTTTTTGGGTTGGGTTTTGGTGTTTGTTTTGTTTTTTTTTTTTTTGTTTTTTTTAGAAATAGACATTACAGACATGAGGCATTAAATATTTTTAGCAAGTTCCATTGTTCGGGTTTTTTTGGGGTTTTTTTCAGGGGCGTATGCAGAACCTGTGTTCCCAACTTAAAAGGAAAATTGAGGATTAATGCATTTGAGTAAGCAGATACATTAAAACATAAAGTAGATATGTTTTTTTTTTTACTTAAAAAACATTAAAACATTAAAATGACAAAAGAGCTTATTGAAGACCTATTATAGCACTGTTTTTTTTGTGTGAAACTTTTGCTAAGGATAGATCTGATAACTTGATCTGTAGCTATTACTTACCACAGGGGGCTTAAGTATTTGAGTATCATCTTCTCTTACTTGTTTATCCCAGCAAATGCCTTGGAAGTTAAGTCCTAAGTTGCCATAGACTTCATTTAAATTTTTTAGCTTGTATTTTCTGCATGCTTCACTGCATTTTAAATGAATAAATACAGATTGGAATGACTTTATGGTAATTTGTATATGCTCATTAATGCAATTATGAGGAAGCAGAGTATATTCTTCCTGATTATCTGTTACGAATTTGTTTCAGTTCGTAGGTTGTCAGCTGATAACCTGCTTCCAAGGCTTGTGATCTTAAGCTGGTTTTACCCATCTCCATTTCCTAGGCTGTTGCAGAAATCAGGGAAATGTCTGTGTCTGATCTCAGCAAACTGTATGGATTCAAATTCATGAAAGGATATTTACTGCATTTTCTGTTTTGAAAGCAAATCTCTACCCATAAGCCAAAATCCAATCATAATATAAACTTGTTCCCATGTTTTCCTGTTATTCTAAAATGTAGGCATTTTCAGCTTTGTGGGTGACACTGAGGCAGCATTTGCCTAAAACATTGAGATGTTTTCTAAAATGGCTTCATCATGATTAGAAGTCTCCTGGCCTGCATAAGCTCAGATGTGGTGTTTTGTATCTTTCTGGAGGTTAGGTCACACACTTTTTTTAAGTGAGGTATGTCTGAGTTATCGGCTCATGCTTCCTGAGAGACAGGAGGAATGGTAATGGGCTGGGAGGATGAGGGGATTAGTGCTTTTGTGACCCCTCTTCTCTAACTTGTCTAGTTTACCTTTGCTGCCGTTACGCCCAACGCCAAGTACAGATGCTCATCCAAGTTCCAAGGCAGAAGTAATATCAGGGTCAAGTAGTATTTATATCTCATCTGTCCTCTAACTTCACTGCATTTGGTTTTTTTTTGTTTGCTCCCCAGTCCAGTATTGGCCAGCCCCTGGTATGGATGCTGTAGCATGTAGTTCTTGTGTTGTAACTAGTTACCTTCTCTCTTAAGGGCTTTGGAATTTAAAAATTGTTGCTTGTTGAATAAGGCTTGAAACACAGTGTTACTTTAATTAGCTAATCAAAATTATCCCGTAGGTATAATTGATTTTAAAATCTGAGATGTGACATAGAAAAGAGTGGTTTGGCAAGATAAGATTTGAGTGTAGATGTGTTTCTGTTTCCCTTTGGTTTATACATCTTAATGTTTTCCTCATTTTATAGTATCTTGTCTATTCGAAAATCTAATTAAAGATAATTTAATTAGTCCTATGTTTAGCCATGTTTTGCATAGAAAATGTTTTAGGGAAGGGCCAATGACTTGATTACATACTTTTGATCTTAACTGTACTTGTTTCCTGCTTGGAAGAAGATGAAAGGACGTTCGAGGTGGATCTGTGAGAACTTATTTAACAGTGAAATGGGTGTGGAGAGGAGGCAACAAATAAGAGTGGAAAGCCTCCTGAGGGCTGCACCATAGTAGGGTGCAGTAGCCAATAGCTGCATTACTTCAGAAGGTGTTACCTGGGTCATAGTTCAGAGATGGGAATAATTTTGAGTAGTTTGTTTAAAATACAGCTGTCTGTGAATTTAAATAACATTGTTAAGATCACAAATGAGGGAGTAAAATGTATTTATTTTATCTTTTTATTTAGCTTTGAAAGATTATCTTTAACTTAAAAGATACTCATGCACTGTAATACTGCCTGTCATTGGTTTTTATGCTTGATCGCTGTGGGGAGCAGTAATGCAAATGTGCATGAAATCACAGGCTCTGTCTCTTTTAGAGTCAGAACTCATAGAATCAAGGTTTTCCCCTTCTTCCACCTTGTAAGGATATAGCTGTAAAAGGTATGAACAGTCTGTGGTTCTGTTCCCAAAGTGTACTTAGTTTTGGTTCTTCCTTAAAGCTAGACAGCATGAAACAATTGTGTGAAATGCTCCAGTCATGCCCTTAGTCTCTGTGTAGACCAGGTAAAGATTGGGTAAGACAAGGATGCAGGAAGTATCACAACATTCTCTTTGACAGCTTGTCTTGCCATTTCTAAAGATATGTGCATGTTGCGTTAGCAGAATGGCATTAGCAAAATGAAAGGCCGATTCCAGTGAATGCGATAATAAAGGAAACTTCAGGTTTATTTTTTAACTATCACCTCCACAGATTATAATTTTTTTTTTTCCTTTTCCCTCTTGGCTGTTGAGAAATTGGAATAATCTTGCTGAAAGATGGTCTTGTCTACCTTAAGTGTAACTTGCTTTTCTTTGCTTTTCAAATATATCTGGTGTTCTGGGAAGTGCGATTTAACTGTAACAAGAGGCGAGAGAGAGAGTTAGAGAAAGTCTTGGAAAGCAAAGTGCATTTCAAGTTACTGAATTCTTTTGCTTTTTCTCTTGTTATAAACAAACAAACAAAAATCAGAAGATATACCCCTGAATCCTGTGTTCTAATTGTCCACTAACAGCTCTGAAAACTGTTAATGGTTCTTTTCTAGGTCATGCTGCCTCCTGGTGCTCAGCACTCTGATGATAAAGGTGCTAAAGAAACTATTCTTGATGATGATGAGTGTCCACTGCAGATATTCAGGGAGTGGCCTAGTGATAAAGGTATGTCTAAAAAGCTTTAAGAGATTTTTGTGCTTTGGGAGTTGTAAGTCATGGTGTGGACCCCCTGTAAAGTAAGAAATTGGAACATATATTTTGAAGTGTTTTGTTTTCAGGCACTTTTAATACTAGGTGCTTTTAGAGTTATTTACTGTTTCATTCAGCACTGTTTATAGTAATACATCTTTAGACAGTAGAAGGGTTTTACATTTTATCCTAAAGTTTCTAAATTATCCACTGTGGAGAAGTATGCTATTAATTTTTTAAATAGTTTTAACTTAAAAATAACTATATAAAGAAGTGTCAGGAACTTAGCAAGCTGAAAGTAATCCTATGGAACACTTACAAATTAATAGATGTTGGATGTGTGCTTGTTCACTGATAGTGAGACTTAAAGGATGTATAATATTGTGTTTTAGGAATACTAGTCTTTCAGTTGAAAAGGCGGCCTCCTGATTATGTCCCAAAGAAATCCAAGAAAATAACTGATGGAAAGCCATTAAAGGGGAAGGAAAGAGTTGACGGGTCTGGCTACGGCTCTTGCCTTCCTCCTGAGAAACTACCGTACCTGGTAGAATTAAGCCCAGGTAAGAATTCTGGTTATCTAACAATCTAAATTACATTATTACATAGTCATTTAGGTTTTCCAAAAATAAGACTTTCATTGGAAGCACAAGAAAGTCTGTTGGCAGTGTAAGTGAATGCCACATCTGTTGTTCTTCTGATGTCAGATTCTGAATTGGAACTATCTAGAAGTAGAGCTGCATATTGCCATAATATCAAAATTTTAGTAGCAAATGTTTGGAGTAAAAACAGGGGAGAAATGATTGACTAAGACTTTGTCTCTATTAGCACGGTTTCAAGTATGAAGTTTTAAGTGTTTCAAAAACAAAAAAATGATTTGATCTTCAACTTCTGTTGGATTTTGGGGTTTAAAACTTGATAATAAGTAAAAGAGTTTAACATGTCATCTTGTGATTTAGGGGGGGAACTAAAAAAGCAGTGCTTAAATCTGGTTTGTTTTACATTCAGAAGTATACTGTAGCATACCTACTAAGATATATTTGACAGTGCCATACATGAAGAACGCATTTTTAGAAGGACAAGAACATGAATTTTTAAATCAAACTTACTTGCTAAACATTTTTCAGCCTATATGGAACCTTCAAATCACTAGCAATGCTGGGTTTTATTTTGGCGTCATTACAACTCTCTGGGCTGCACTGTAATTTACAATTCATTTTATGATCTAGGAACAGCCAGGGGAGTTTGATTGTTTATAGCACAACAACTGATGAAACACATACAACTTCTACTCTTAATTTCTCTGGTTGTCATGTTTAAAGATTTGGATATGGACTTTGATTTTTGGTGATTTAGTTATTTGCAGCTCTTTTTCCTATTAAGTGTAACTTGGGTACACTCAGGTACCCAAACAAGTGATTTACAGTTTGAAGTCTGGTTGTTTACCTTTCGGGAAGCAAGGCTGGAAATTGGTGCTGAAAACTTTGACCAGAACTGCAAACAAAAGGTTAAATTTGTAGTCAAATAGTGTGGTGTTTAATTAAAAAAAAAAAAAGCCAGATGAAATTAGCAGTACACAGAATATATTAAGTGAATTTTATATTGTGCTTTCTATATGTTGAGGTTTGATTTGCATATTAATATTTTGGGTTTTTTTAATAGTACTTTTGATTTCTTTTCTTGTGCTCTAAACTCTTACTCTTTGTGGAGTGTAGTTGCTTTAGTATTAAAACGTTGTGCTTGGGCAGTGGAGCAAGACATCCATTAACTGAGAGAGGAGAAGCAATCTGAAATGCCACAGGTGGCAACGCTGTGTACTAAGCTTTTGCACGTTGCCTGTGGGGACTGACCTATTGTTCATGTTTTTCTTCTAACAGCTTGTTGTCGCTTTTCTAAACAATAAGGATTGTTTCATTTAGTAGCTTTGTAGTATTCATGTCTTTATATTCCATGCAGTTTCTAAAGTTGAGAGAGTTTAATGCACTTCATCCTTATAAATTGAGTAAGTGTTGTCTGGCTACAGTTTCACCCTTTCCTGTCTTTTCTTTTCCTGCCTTCTTCCGCACGTTCTGCATGGTATCTGTCCTGCTGGTGCTGCCTTCACCTGGGTCCTCTGCATGTGTTTCTAACCCCAGGGAGAAGGAATCACTTTGCCTACTACAACTATCACGCTTACGAAGGTAACGCTGTATTTAATACTGTTCTCTCATTAGTCACTAAAAACGTCGCTGGCTGTAAATCTTTTGTTTCTTTTTGACAAATGAAAAGCTATCTTGCTTATCTTACTTTTTTCCAAGGGACTGCTTCTGTGAAGCAGTTATTTGTCTTGTCAGCTGCCATTTAATTATTCTGTCTGTGACCAAACATCAAATAGGTCATGAATGTGCTACCACCCAAAGAGTTCAACCTTCCAGCTAAGGTTAACAACTATATTTCATAGGGTGCCTTACAAGCAGTGTTGTGGCAGGAAAAAAAAGTTCTTTGATCCATCCACTTGCAGAATTCATAGTTAAAAAGTGAATTGGGTAAATGGCATGGAACTTAATTGTGCTTTTCAATGTTTGACCGCCTTGATGTAGTGGATGAAATCCGTGATTTTTATGTGAAATAGTGTTTGGACCACTGGTAAAGCGACCTCACTTTCTGCTGTGTGGTGTTCTGTAGCATCCTTGGTATTTCTACTGCCTGGTTTATGGTGGTGTCTAACATAAACAGTGTACATCAAAGAGATTTAGCCACATTAGACAGTAGAGTCTTGTTCAGTTTTATCTGTAGCATTTGAAATTGATAACCTAACCTACAAATCATTATGGATCTTTGATTCTCCTTAGAGTTTAGAGTAATGTGCAGATATGTCCTGGTTTGGCCAAATAAATAAGAATGCAAAGCCACTTTCTTCTTCATTGTGAAATGTCTACCAAAATACCTTTTCCTTTTCTTAGTTTTTTAGCATCTGTTTCCTCGTTTTATTTTCTAGACTGCTATAAAAGTACTGTATGTCTGTTGGTGTTGCTCACCCTTTCATGGCTGTGGAGTACAATACTGGGGTTTAAAGAACTGTTAAAACTTTGGCCTCCAGTGCTCAAATATTTGATGAATTCAGACTTGCATTTCATTAACATCATTATTCCAGAGAGAAGAAAAGTTCCGTAAGTGTGCTGAACTAATAAGCATTGACGAGCTCTGCAGGAACACCTGACCATTGAATAGAAAGCTTGAAATTTGGTTGCATCTAACTGGGGAAAAAAAAAAAAAATTACGATTTCTTAAATCTTTATCTCGGAGTGTGAAAAAGAGGTCTTAGTACTCAGTCCAGTCTGTCTCTTTGGAACAATGCATGTCAGGATACTTGTATTTATTACAGAAATAAATCCTGTAGGAGTGTCCTTCTGTCAAAGGACATTGGCTGTTTATATTCTTGCAGAAGAACCTGGCAGACTTCAGTTTCATGCCCTGTGCAATTGCACAAATTCAATAAGTTTGCTACTGTGGAAGTACGTCCCGTTTTTCCGCTTCTCCACAACTGCTGACGTTGCTGGTTGTATGACTGTTTTATAGACTGAAAACCAGATTCTGCACAGTACGGTAGAGGATGCACTTCAGTAGCTTGTGGCTGTAAATGTGGCAGTCAGCAATTGTCTGTGTCTTCCAAATCATGTAAATGAACCAATAAACTGAGATGAATCTGATAGTAATAGAAATAGACTGAAGTGAGATACGGCAGCACTTTGGATAGCTGATACTGTCTATGTTATCTGTGAATATGGTTGGTGATAAGTTCAGGGATGTTATTAACCTCAGTTGTTCAATCATAATATTTAAAGGCTGAGAAAAATGACAAAAAGCCATTTTTTAGGATGTGAGCCTCCAAGATTTATCCTGCAAGCCTGAAATAAAAATTATAAAGCATTTTTTAAAAAAAAAAAAAAAAAAAGGCAACACCTTAAGGCTTTTCTCCCTGCCTCATAACAAAAAAGCAACCCTGAGCTGTAGAATTGACAGCAATGGGAGATGCTGAGAACATGAAGGTATAACAACTCAGAAAGAATAATTACAGGAGGTTGGAGAAGCTTGAAAGCCTTAGCCAGGGCGGTTTCCCCAGCCAACCTTCTTTCTGAGAGCAGAACTGCAGTATGGTATGTGGTAACACTTTTACACATTAGTTTGAAGGAGCTTTGTGGTCGGTCACATTCCTCACTGAATCTTCCTTTACCAAAAATATCTACTGTTGGCTCTTTCTGCTGGAAGAGCACATCTTGTCTGAAATTTAATAGCAGAATTATCTCCTGAATTCTACATGATATTTCCAATCTGCCTAACCAATCTCTTAAACTTCTTATTATCTAAATTCTTAGCACTCAGGAACTGGTGCAGGAAATCTGCTGCTTTTCAAATGTGGATTTAACTAATTTTTAAGTCAATAGGTGCAGTCCCTTGTGTGGAGGTTTTTGTTCAACTTTGGGCTTGCTTGTTTTCTATGATCTGATCTTCATCGTTTGTTTTAGTCTGGTTTTAAGTGGATACTATTTCCCAGCATTGTTTCAAGCACTGGATTAGCGAAATAAATTGAAATAATCATCTCCAAAGTGGTGTAGGGTTCACCTTTTAGTGGTGAAGTAATGCATTTAGAATATATATCCATGAAGGGAGGCTTGTCTTGTCTTTTTCTGTTGATCAAAAATGTACATTTGTATTATGAATCACTGAGTTTATGTGCTTACAGTGACTGTTCACTTCTGCTCACTACACAGTTTTCTTACAACACTGCTGTTTGAAGTGTGAATGTTGATTCGTAACTGCATAAACCCAGTCACGAAATCTATTTGTATTGCATCCTTAGCATGGAAAGTGATAGAAAGCCACAGTTTTCACAGGTTTTACATAAACAATTTCACTAGTGACTATAGGTGAACAGTAATATATGGTGCGTCTTTTTACTCTACACTGCATGTTTTATAGCGGTTTTTGCTGTACATATACATGCTTCAGTGTTTTTGAAAACCCCTATTTTCTGAATCACTGTCTCCTGCCTGGTCTTTGGTGATAAGGTCTGCTTTCTGATTGAGGGTTACCTCCTGAAATACAAGTTTTCAATCTGCGATAGGCAGTGTACATAGATGTATATGTATATTTGTATGTGTACTTCTGTCATGGGGGAAAATAACTTGTGAAACTTATTTCAAATGCAAACCCTACCAAGTTTATTTGAACCCTCATATGATGTCACTGGGAAAAGCTTTGTCAGGTAGATAATTAAGTTTAATGTATGCAGTAGTGGCTAACTTGGTCTCTTGAATAATAGTTCTTGCTTCTTCAGCTTGTGGCTTGGGGGCACGTCTGGGAGGCACGTTCAAATTCAATTTTCTAAGCTTAAAAAACCCCCAAAATCTAGATGTTCTCTGCACCTATTTAGCTCTGGTAATGTTTTCAGTCATGGGTGCCATAAATAGAATACAGGCCATCTTTTTTCCATGCCGTGTTTACTTATGTATGCAGATAAAATGAACAAATTTGTATAGAATTCATACATTTTCCTTATGCCTCTTGCTGCTTCTTCTGTATTGTTTATTATTGCCCACCTTTCTGAGAACTTTGACCTTTCCAATTTCTGAATTAAAAGAAAATTACTGTTGTGTCAGATAAAAACCCCAGATATATTATTTCCCCCCGCCCCAAATTCTGGCCCTTAAGTCGTATGACTTAGATTGTATGTATCGCCTTTCTGAACCATCAGAAGTCTTTAAAGTTTGGTCCTTAGAGGCTAAGAACAGCCTTCTTGGACTGTCACGGTTTGGGGAGCAGGGACTTTGCCACAGGTATGGCAGAATCTGTATCCCGCTGCAGTGAGTTATGAGGAATGCATTCCAAAGAACATTTAGGTGAGTTTCCAGCTGTTGAAAAACAGGAAATACAAGACTTTACACTACGGTATAATGCAACCTTCCTACCCTCCTGCATCCCTCCCCTAGAACAAAAAGGCCTTTCATCCTTCTTAGAAGTGTAGTAATTCTCTTCAAGATTAAGAGAGCTTTTACTGTAGAAATTGGCCTTTAGTGATAGATGATTACATGTGTGCTCCAAATAACTTTCAGTAACTCCTTGAATTTTTCTTGTTTTCCTGGGAAAAGAAAAAAGTGTTTGTATCTAGTGTTGTGGTTTTAAAGTAAGTTTTTTCTTGTTACATTGGACACTCCAGAGAAGCAAAACAGTCTTAATTTGCCTCAGCAGAAACATTGTGATACTAAAATATATTTCTTATGTGAAAGCACGTTACATGACATGCATCTATATTGAGGATATACGGTGGTGTGAGGTAAATGTTTATTAGCAGGAACTTAGTATTGATTGATTATTCACAAGTGCTGAACTCAGGAATAAGATCCAGAAGTTATCTTAAGTAAACACTTGAAAAAACATAGTATTTCATTATGTATTTTACAGAATATTTCAGAAATACGTAGGAATATTTTTAAGTTTGCTTTTGTGTGGGTTTTTTTTTTCCTTTTTAAGAAAAAGTACGGGGCGGAGGGGAAGTATATTTAGTGTAGGGGTGAAATCACTAGACCGTAAAGCCTATTCTCTAATCTGTATATAAAGGGCTTAGAAGGAAGTGCCATAAGAACAAAAGCCCTAGATAACTAGCCCTGACTTTTATGCCACTGACTTTTGAAATTCCAGTATTTTTGCATGTTGAATAAGGGTCCTTGCCTGCAAACTGAATCCTGTATCTTTTGGGTGCCAGCTCTACCAAACTGGGATGTGGGTAGGAGGAGGAAATACGTGGATTCATAAATAAATAAATGAAGCAGCTACTCTAGGTTTTGATGTGTAAGTTGTAGGGAGACATAATAACAATTCAGAGAATTGGGGGTAAGTAGCCAAATGTATTCAGTAGCCTATTACATGTCTGCATTTGGTGACACCGAAGATGCAGCCATATAATTTCTGATGAGCACTGTTAAGTATTAAAAACTGCATACAATTTAAATTGCTGAAGATGCTGTATTAGTATTACCTTTTTTAGTGTACAGTGATATTAGATGTATGTCTTTATAGATGCAAATATTGGGATTTAATAAAAGGCTTATCCCTGTACCTGAAAAATGTTTAGAGGACTGAGTGCTCTTACGTTTAATACTTCTTTTGTGATGTATGACATACTACTATTACGATAGTGATTCTAAATATGTTCAAAACCTGGATATTACTATAGTATCAGCACTTAACTTTGGTATTTATAGTACTAGTCTATGGACTGTCTCTGCCTTATGTCTTTGTGTCCCAATAACATCACAACACCCCCAGGAGAAGCTTACTACTAGGAGTACCCATTATACTTTTCCCCATGTCAAAATCATGTAAAACACTGTTGGTATCATTCTTTATTGACAACCCAGCTTCTTCCCCCCTCCATTCACTTTGTGTTTTCTGTTCTTTTATACCGTTGCCTTCCTTTCTTTGTATCTTTTCCTTTTAGTCAGTGTATGGTTCTTAACTGTTTTCTCTGTGCTGTTGACTTTTAATGCCTTTAAATACCCTTCATTGGAGGATTGACAGAGGACTTCATAGGCTAAGTGACATTTTATCGTTAAATGGCTTGCATTCTGATTTTAATAAACACATCCTGGTAGTAATGCTGGGAGTTTACAATTAGATTTATGGAGATTCTGTTTATATTGACTTTCATTTAAAATCTGAAGATTACTAGTATCCTACTGAAGAAAGTATCACTCTATGTGCCATGGCTTTAATAATATTCTCTAATGCTTTTTGGGGATGACTTGAAATCATTGTTCATGTCCGCAGGTAGGACATTCTTTGTCTTGCAGCCTCCCTTTTTTGCATCTTCCCTTTGGAGAAGAAATTGGAGAAAAATCAGAAGTGACAGTATTAGTTTAGTATCTGATAATATTTAAAGTTGTAGTATTTTCTGGGAAGCGAGGAGGATTTGTGTGTGTGCCAAAGCCCATCTGTGTTAGCCTGTGAAGGCAGCAGCTAAATCCTGTGCTGCATCCAGTGTATCTTGCGAAATTTTGTGCTGTTTGGACTATATGTTCTTCTGGGGGGAGGAGGAAGACAAACTTTATCTTTGACCTCATTTTCTCCAAGATGAAAATATAGGTCAATGGGACTATAAAGATAAGGCCAGAAGTGCTACAGTCCTGTAGACCAAAGCTGTCATAGGTAAACATTTTGTAAGATTCTCTTTTAATATCGCCTGATTTCAGTATCTGATGAATAGGAAACAGTTTGGCATGTTGGCCACCTGACAGTAGATATGGCTGATAATCTGTACTTTTAGTAAGATCAATAAATACTATTATTATTGAGATCTCCAGATATCTTATTTTCTAAATCTTTTAAACCCATATTGGTATACCCATATAAAATCTTAGAGATTAACAAAAATTGTATTGCTTAAACTACTAACAAATAAAGTTTTTCGAAGTATGTTCTGTATAGTAGTTCTTGATTACTTTGTTCTTTCCACTTGCAGAAAACAGTCGCTCTGAGTGGGCTCTGTCTACTTTCAATGTTTTTACACTACTATGAACAACAAAGTTCCCAACAAATCTTGAAAGAATGTCACTCAGTTTGTTTTTTTTTTTTGGTGAACATTGCTACTCTGAACTAAATTGCAATAATGTAGAAATATTGTGTGAGTATTGAACTTTAATTAATAACTTGCAAATTAATATTTGTCACTTGCTGTACAGATGGTTCTGACTCCAGAGATAAGCCAAAGCTCTATCGTCTACAATTAAGTGTCACTGAAGTTGGAACCGAAAAATTTGATGACAATTCTATTCAGGTATGGAAAAAAAGCAGACTCAGATGACAGAACTGATCCGATCTCTGGTCAGTTATGTGTAATTGTGGAAACTAGTAAAATATTCTGTGAATACCCTTCAAAGCTAGAAGGGTAAAATACTGCTGCAATTTCATGTTAATGGTCATAACTCTCTGATTTATTTTATTTCCCCTCTCTTGCTTTAAGAGGAAAGTAAGGGCTTCATTATTTGAAATGGGGTATTCTTTTTCGTCACTGAATCAAATGGTACGTATCAGTGTTATCGTAACTGCTTAATGGCTTTCAAGTCCTAGTCTCAACCCCTTTGAGTGAGGTAGAATTTCTTGAATGTATAAAACAAGCATAGTTGTATGAAGTTCATGCCAGGGAGTCTCTTATAGCACCCTGGGTCCACGTCAGTCCAGTTAGTTGACTTGTAAATACTTGCATTGTGAGATTTCACATTAAAACAGGAAGTGAAAGAAAACAGTTCTGAACAGCATATGACCAAAAAAGTGAAAAATTTTTCATTAAGGGATTTCTGCTGCACATTTTAGTTAAATATGTGTTTTATTATCTCTGTTGCAAAGAAAATTGAAATCAAACGCAACTGATTTTAGTACCACTCGTGTTAAATTCATAAGCAAGCAAAGTTAAGTTACTTGTCTGTAAATAGGGTAAGCTGCAGCTCAGTCTTTTTGTTTTAATTTCTGCTGCTGTATAATTTAGTTTATTCCATGTTAATTACTTCTATTTGCAGTTATTTGGTCCAGGAATTCAGCCTCATCATTGTGACCTCACTAATATGGATGGAGTTGTTACTGTAACCCCGAGAAGCATTGATGCTGAAACTTATGTGGAGGGTCAGCGTATTTCAGAAACCACTATGCTGCAAAGTGGAATGAAGGTTCAGTTTGGGTCATCTCATGTATTTAAGTTTGTGGATCCCACTCAGGACCATGTTATTCCTAAAAGACCTATTGATGCAAGTCTTATGGTCAAAGGTCCAAGACACAAAACCGGGTGAGTAAAATTTATTTTCTTCCCACTGAGGTGAAGGGGGAGCCTTGGAAAAAATAGAGAATGAGAGCATTATAAATGGCCTGTGGCTAGAGTATGACTTTAAATGAGTTCTGAGTAGCTGCTTTTAAGTGTTAAATATATAATAACTATTTCAATACTTGAGCTCCACCTTGTGATTTTTTTTAGGATTAGCAAGTGTCTTTTTCATTATAAAGTACTCAGGGAAGTTTTCCTGATGCTCACTTCTGTGTTAAAAACAGTGGAATGCCTTATTTTAATATATTTCAAAGTTCATCCAACCTCCAGGAAAAGTAAAGAATTCACTGAATGTTTTCAGAGAGCCTGGTTTTTGTTTTTTCTGGGATAGTAACTTTTAAAATTCAACTAGAAGGATTTGGAAATTAAGTAGGGTAGTTACGAAATGAGACTGTCAAGTTAGGAAACTAAATGTGTCGATATAGCAACCACTTTTTACAGTGTGATTACTTACCTTCTAGTTTCTGTGTTGCAAGGACTAACAGTCCAGAAGTCCATCCTGTTGTTTCTCTGTATATTCATAGTTTTGATAGGTGCATAATAAAAATACTGATTATAGACTTAGTGACTTGGGGATCCGGTATTCTGTTCAGTGGCTATAGAAGTATTCAGGAGAAATAGTCTTAAAATCAGACTGTATAGCATGGAAAAAAAATAACATCATATCTTCCATCCTCTCTGGGTCCAAATGAGGCTACTATTGTAGTATACTGTGGTTTAGAAAAGAAACAAATTGGCTTGGAGGTGAATGAGAGAAAGATACCTAGGAAAAGAGGCTCTTCTGGCTAATGTGCTGAGTTAATGTAGATATATACTTCGTTATTTTTTCTCCACTTTATTTTAACGAGGAAGTACACTGTCTGCTTGTTGTAGGACCTGTCTGCAGGAAGACCTCCAGCCATTTAGCTGTCACGTAATATTTCTGCTTAAATCTTGAGTTCATTCTACATCTAGCCTGCAGATCAATAAACAAATGCTCTTGCAGGTTTACACAGTCAACTGCAAAGCACTGTACTACTGCAGAGCTTTACCTGGACAGCCCTGGCAAAGGGCAAAGGGCTCGCAAAGGGCTATTGCAGCTTGAACAATCAAATATTTTTTAAATCTTCAGAATAAGCAGATAATAAAATGCAATACTATGATTTATGAATGATTTACATTGTCAAGATTGTTGTAGATTTAGTACTGAAGAGCTGAGCAAAAAATTGTAGCAAGTCTACTGCAGTGAATACAATACCTTGAACATATTTTTATGTGTGTTTATATTTACATTATTTATGTTTATGTGTATTTATATTTTCTCACTTGACTGGGAAAAAAATGTAACTAAATCTCTTTTTTCAAAGGAAATTGTATAAATATTTGTAGTGTTTTTATATAAAGAATTGATACAGTGTTTTAAAAAGTTAATATTAACTGGACTCATGGTATACCTCTTGAATTTTAAATTACTAATTTTAGCTGGTCTGTTCCTTATTTGTTAAATGTTTAACAATATAATTTCTAAAAAGTACTTGAAATGTTATCTTGCTTCTAGAGCTGTTCAGGAAACCACATTTGATCTGGAGGGAGATGTTCACAGTGGAACAGCATTACCAGCAAGCAAGGTATTATATTATGACTAAATTAGCAATAAATAATAAAAGATCATGTGTAAGTTTATTATAACATCAGTAGTATTTGGTAAAGTGCGGCCAGTTCATCATTCTCCCCAGCCATTTCCTGTTGTGGGTGGGCTTGGGTATCATGTGCATTATTATGTTTTTCCACAGAACTTTTCTGTTTACGTTTGTATTAGCATTTGGCATGCATTCCGTTACAAGAATAGTAACTTTTTTTAGAAAGGGAAATTCCTCAAGCCTGGAATAGTTTCTCCCCAAACTGACCTATTAAAGGCAGATTACATGCAGCTAGAGATTCATATTAGAAATGATATATCATTATCTCATGTATGTAGCATATGACTATTGTCATCTGCGATAGGGTAAATAAATGTTTTATATAAAATGTGAAAGGGTGTTCAATTTTAATTTAACTAGGCTTTTAAAATTTAATGGATGTGACTTTTGACTTCAATAGAGCTCGTGTACACACGTTGATTGACTAAACAAACTGCCTCTGCAGTCATAGTTGTAAATATTTTATGAGGTGATAATCTTTTCTTGCTTTCTTTTTGCACTGTCTTTCTGTTAATAAATTCTGTGCCAGAGTTGCATTTTCTGAGAGCAAACAAATAGAGTAAAATAACACAATGGTTAATGCTTGGTACTATCATCACATGCCTCATGAAATGAGAGAATGAATTATTTCAGTAACATGACATATAGTAGTCATCCCAGAAATGCATTTCCTCTTATGTTTTATTTCTACTATTATCAAATTGAAATACTTGTAAAGAAATTTAGTGATATTGGTGTGGCAGTGTAGGTATTAATAATACTCTGATAGCTTTTGAATATATTTGTTAGTCTTAAAATCTTTTTTCTTGCCACAGACTTCTGATTCAGTTTTTCTCCTTTCTTTCTTTGTGACAATGCTTTCTTTTATCTCGGATGCATTCTTTACCTCTGATAGGAATTTATTTAGTGACATTTTGGAAGGGAAAAAAAAAAAAGAAACTTTGTAAAATATTAAAATGCCTCAAAATTGCTCAGAATTGGAGTTTCTGACATTATTATATAGCATATGTCATATTCTTTTCAGACTCATTAGAAAAATACTTTTAGTGGACCTAGGGAAGCTTGGGAAAATTTAATTTTTTTTTTTTTGAGTTGTTTGAGAATGTGCATGACATCTTCTTAAATCACTGGTGAATCACTTGTTTTCTAACAGTTGCTGTTATGAGTTTGCTTTTCTATTTGGAAGAGAGGTAACAATAACTTCAATGAAAGTTCTCTGAGACCTGGTGATGAAAAGTGATTCATGGATTGGCATGTCAGTACTGAAAAAACTATTTTGTTCAAACTCTTGTTTTGAGATGCACTTTTTTTAGGTTTTCTTGTGTCAAAGAGAATTATCTAGTCCTAAAAATTTCTTAGGAAATAGGGAAACACTTCATATTTTACTGATGTTTTGTTTTCAACTGTTTATACTGAAAAATAATTGCTACATATTTTGCTGCTTAAAGCAGCATTATTTTCCCCTTCCTGACAGGGTTTGATGTAATTGGAAATGATAAATTAAAAGCTTCCGGTTAAGGAGCTTGTGACACTGAAAGAAAACAAATGAAACTGTACATAAAAAATTGCATAGTTTGAATTTCCATTTCTTGTCTTGGAAAATTACGTACTGTCTAGCAGATCAGACTTTTCTTAAGAACAGGATAAATTATGTAAGCACTTGGCGCTATTGCAGATGCAGGGTAGGGGAGCATAGCCAGTTTTAAATCTGTTAATATGTTTAACTTTGTCTCTTAGCTAAGTTTTCATTAACAATTCATTCTTACTTTGTATTGATAACTATGCAACTTTTAAATAAAGACGTTTGAAATTTTCATTATATGATCTTGCAATGCATTAACAAATAGCTGCTCCTAGCTGGCCATTGTCATCTTTTGAATTGCAAGTGTGCTCTTTGATGCTTCGTTGTGGTGAAAACACCTGCTGAGCTGCTGGATTCTGTGCTGTACTCTTCTCTTCTGTTTTCCCATCTCTTTTCAAACATCAAATTGATACTTCATTTTAATAGTGCCAAGCACAAATACTGGCTAATCCAATGTTTGCATGCTAAGCACCTGTCCCGCTGTTTTGAATTAGAGCACCAGCAGGCTTGATGGTGACAGGACATCATCAGCATCCAGCACAGCTGAACGAGGAATGGTGAAGCCAATGATTAGAATAGAACAGCAGCAAGATTACCGCAGACAGGAAAGCAGGTAGGAAATGTGTAATCCATTACTTTTCATAATGGAAAAAACTGGATACATTTTTCTGATAGATCAAGCAGTGTATTAAAATATTTTAAACTACTTGATTTTTCCTATGGAAAATGAGATTTCCTTTGAGATCTCACTCCCAATAAAACCCAGGATTAACAAACAAAGCAAAAAACTTCAGAATATTAAAAAAAAAATATTCCTTTGCTTCAATATTCTGTTATTTGTAGTTTTTTTTTTGTAAAGCCAAGCTGATAGTCATGTCACACCACTGTTGATTTGTGGTTAGGGATGTCATATGAAATTCCTTTAATAACAAAAGTACAATTATTTGAAATTTTCATTTGTCAGTGGCAAGATGATATGCTTTACTCTGGAGAGGGAAATAACCAGGTCACTCCTATTTCTACAGTAGTGTTGTTCGCAAGTCTTGTGAGCAAGAATGCTTGTCTTGCAAAGTTATGTAATTTGTAAATGCTTATAACACCTCCTTCTTGATTTTTGCTTTTATGATATAGTGGCTGTTAATAGGTAGATAAACGCTATCCCATTTTGCTCATAGGCCCTTTTTTCAGGTGCAGAATGACACTTTTCATGCCCTGCATATTCAGTTTGTTTCCAAAGCCATAGTGGAAAACACTGACTTCAAATCGTATGCCGTTTTCTTGCTATTCAGTCTCATAATTCATAATACCTTGTTCAAATTCAGTTTGTGCCTATCCAAAAGGACTCAATTCCTTGTTAGACAATGTCTTTTAATATTAGCATTGCTTCAAAAATTGTCTCTATTTTCCGTCCATGGCATGCATCCAAAGATGCTGGGAGTTGGCTGACATCATTGCAAAGCCACTGTCTCATCTTTGCAAGGTTGTGGAGATCAGAGGTAATAAATGACAGGAAAAGGGGCAAATGCTACCCATCTCCAGAAAAGACAAAGTGGTAGATCCAGAAAATACACACCAGTCAGCATTAATTCAGGCCCTGGGAAAATTGTAGAACAAGTCCTCATAGAAGCTATTTCAAGGCACACAAAGGTCAAGAAAGTGGTTAAGAAAAGACAGCATGGATTTACTAAGGATAAATCATGCTTGACCAACCTGACTGGCTTCCATGATGAAACAACTTGCATAGTTAATGAGGGGAGAGCTCTGGGCATGATATCATCTACCTGATTCTAGCAAGGCATTGTCACAATCTCCCAGAACATCCTTGTTGATAAGATACGGTCTGGATCAGTGGACCACAAGATGGGTGGAAAACTGCCTAAACTGCCAGGCTGAGAGGGTGATGGTTAATTGCTCAAAGTTGAACTTGGCAGCTGGTCGTGAGTTGAGTTTCTCAAGGTTAGTATTGGATCCGATACTACTTAGTAACTGTATAAACAATCTGGGTGATAGGATTGAATGCATCGTCGCCAAGTTTGTGGGTAATACCAAACTTGGAGAATAGCAAATAAGCCACAAAGAAGAGCCACTGTTCAGAGAGACCTATGCACACAAGAATTGCATGAAGTTTAACAGAAGTAAATGTGAAGTCCTGGACATGAGACAGAAAATGTCAAGAGCAATGTAGGCTGAAGTCTGACCATTTGGATTATAGCTCTGCTGAAAAGAACCTGGGGTCCTGGTGTACAGCAAGCTAAACTTGAGTCAGCAGTGTATCCTTGCAGCAGTGAAGGCAAACTATGTCCTGGGCTGCATCAGCAAGAACACAGCCAGCAGATCAAGGGATATGATTATCCCACTTTACTTGGCTCTTGTTAGGCCACACCTGGAATACTGTGTCCAGTTTTGGTGCCCCCAGTTCAAGAGAGAGATTGAAAAATTGGCAACAGTCCTGTGAAGAGACATCTCCACCAACATGATTAGAGGATTAAAGAACTCGATGTATGAAAAAAGGTTGAAGGGATTGGGTTTTTTCAGTCTAAAGAGAACATGGCTCAGGGTGGATCTAATCATAATCTTCCAATACCTAAAAGGGTAGTTATAGAGAAGATGGAGGTGCTGTCATCACAAGGATGCTGGTTGACAGGTGAAGAGGCAATGAGCAGAAGTTGCTTCAGTGGAAAACTGTCTGGCTGTAGGAAGTGTAGGGGAGGAATCTTCACTGTGAGACCAAGTGAACATTGGGATATGTTGCCCAGAGAACTGGTAGAAACTTCCCTCACAGGAAATTTTCAAGATTCTGCTTGACAAGGCTCTGGATAACCCTGGATAAAGCCCTGCTTTCAACAGAAGGTTGGAGCACGTAATCTCTAGAGGTCCCTTTCAGCTTAGGCTTCTGTGCGATTGTTTTTTCTTTGGAGTCCAATGTCTTGGTCAGTTCTGATAAAAAGAACATATTTATGAAAAGAATGAGAGGGTACCTAGAGTTGGAATTACATAGCCTTGATAAGAGAAGGCTCAGGGCAGATCTTATCAATGTGTGTAAATACCTGATGGGAGGAACTTCTTTACTATGAGAGTGATTGAACACTGGAACAGATTGCCCAGAGAAGGTGTCGAGTCTCCATCCTTGAGGTACTCAAAACCTGACTGGACAAGGTCGTGAGCAACTTGCTCTAGTTGACCCTGTTTTGAGCAGGGAAGTTGGACCAGATGATCTCCAGAGGTCCCTTCGCACCTCAGCAATTCTGTGATTCTGTGAAAAAGAATTTTTTTCAAATCTTAAAAAAAATACAAGATTGCATTGCTGTCTACGTAAATCGGCTTTTAAATTTAGATTAATTGCTATGATAAATGGATGAAAGGTAAGGTAAATGTGCTGCAGGGTTAAAAAGTGCAGTGATTCGAGTTGTAAAGCTTCTAGTATAAAGCCTCTAGTATCTTCAGGTGGATTTATTATTCACTAGACAGAAAACAGAGTTCAGAGATGTGAGTGGTAGAAAAAGAAAAAAAAAGGGCAGAAAACTGCTTCCACCTGAACTGAATTCCTGATGTTCTAGTGTTTTGTAGCAGGGACATCTTTTAAATGCTATCAGTGAAGTTACAGTAGAATACGACTCGGTTCTACTCTGCACTCTCTTGTTAGAGTGCCTGGGAATCTTGAGTGTCTTTTTCAGAACTGTTTTTATTAAGGTTGCTGAAGATTTAATTCCTTCTTGCTGAATTACTAGTGTTTTAACTGTAATTTTCCTCTCATAGAAGATCAACAAAACTTCTTTGTGAACTTTTTGTAGCCTGTCAGAAGTCCTTGAGGCTTCTACTGTTAATATTTCTTGAGTTCTAGCTGTGCATTTGTATGTGTTAAATTTCTGTATTTCTGCCTTTCAGCAAGAGCACTTGTTGCAAGAGGATTATCTTGTACTATAGCTTTATGGTCCAAAAATACAGAGCCATCAATGAGCTGCATCTTGGCTTTATTTTGGTTTTTTAAACTTTTAAAATTCCTTCTGAAGACAATACACATACAAGTCTTACTGTTTGTTCCACAGGGTTTTTTCACCTTGGTGCCTGTGCACAGAAAATGTTTTTAGAGAGGCATCCAAATTACACTTAAATTTGTGATAGCTGCAACCGCAGAGATCTTTTTTTATCACCAGTGTTGACATTGCTGTTTTATTTCTGTGTATATCTTATATGTGTATAGTATGTGTTGTGTAATTACATTGAGAGTTATTATCTAAATACAGCATTTCTATCACGTGCTCTTTCTCAGATACATTCATTATGTTGAGATTAACAAATTAGCAAAGTCAGGCTGTCACGTTAGGAAATGCCAGGCAATGAGTTGCTCAAGTAAACTGAATTCTTCCCCTTTGTGGATGTATTTTGTGAATCTTTAGTTAGGCTTCCTCTGGGATACTCTGGTCTCATTTTGTGAACTGTAAAGTCAGTAATTGTGGAGTGAAGTAACTGCTATGTTAGTTTGAAAAACCAAGAAATCTTCACTAAACAGTTCCAGGTTCTTGTTACTGTACAACTAGTCCACCTCTGTACCACGTGTCCTTGTCTGTTCTTTTTGTGTGTGTTCATCACTGCTGTTCAAAGGTGAATAATAAGACGAATAAGACTTTCTTGCAATCACTCACTGAATGGGTTGAAGACCAAAGATTAGAAGTTGGCTGCCTTATTTTTTCATCTCTAGCCTCTAGGAGGAAAAGAATTGAAATCTGAGAGAGCATAACTCCAATTTACTTATTTGGTATGGTTGTTCTGATTGAAATGTGATTCTGTGAAATAAAAGATGATGACTATTTAGTTAAGGATTGTGGTTATACATCCTTGTTAGATAACTGACTTCAATTAGCATGAGCAAGCATATAATAAAAAAGAAAAAAAGATCACTTTTTGCCTTGGATACCCTTCACGAGTTCTTAAAAATGTGTTTGGAAATGAGAATGGTGATATATAAGTGGTGTTAATGGAATGCAGACACTTACTTGATTCCTAATTTTAACATGCCTTACAAAATTTATACGTAGCTAGTATGCTGGCTAAAACAACCACATAAGGACAGAGGATTTTTTTTTTAATGCAGTTTATTATAGACAATTAATCTGGAAGAATACAGAAATATCTGGAGAATGTATTATTGTTTTTAATGCAATTTTGAAGTGTAATATTACCTGACGCTATACTTAGAGAGGAGGCAACCCCTGATCAATATTTTATGGCCTTGCTAGACATACCCTAACTAGACTTTCAGACTGGTTTGGCTCAGAGAATTTAATCACCACGGAGAGGATTTTTCTATAAAAGCACAAAGACAATATATACTTAAAATGTATCCAATTACAAAGCAGGTTGGCTAGCTGCTATCATATTAGAAGCACAGAGTTATTTTAACTTAAATTTCCAATTTACAAAGCTTAATTAGAGAGTATTTCTTGTGTGCTTAGGGAAGGCAGAAAATGGTACATTAGTTGAAGGAAACTCATATTAAGGTAGCTGAAATAATTGACTTAACTGCATCTGTTCCTAGAGAACTAATTTACAGGTAAAACTAAATGAACATTTTTTAAAGAAGTCTTTCCTCTTCATATTCATTTCTCTCTTAAAGCCAATTTCCAAAATTCTGTAAGCAATCTTGCACTAATCCGTATCAGTTCTTGTTTCTCATGCCGCTTTGTCTCCTATTGGAGGGAAGACTGAGAATCCTGTTCCTTCCTTTGTGCTAAAAGGGATCACTATCTTTTTGTTCTAAAGAAAAAGAAATAAATCATCAGCCGAAATCTGTCACTGGTTTACCAACCAGTTTGTTGAAACATTTCTTTGTCTTATTACCATTCCTATAATGACAGATTAAAAATTTCTCTGGAGTTGTCACTGTAGTTCTATTTTTATAATGCTGTGTGAGTATTAGTTATTCTTCTATGGAAATAAGTAAGTTCTCAGTGAAGACGATGCACTTCTGACAGTGTGGGGGTAGTGAAAAATTCGTTCATCTTCAATTTAAATAGCAATAAAAACAGAGGACATGCTACAATTTACACACCAACTGAGCGCTCTTCATAAAGAGAGCATGCTGTCATGTTTGAAATGTAACTGAACTGGCAGAAATTTGTGTACATATTGCCCTGCTGTGCCTTCACTTTTAGCTCCCCAGAACTTTGTTTTGCTGAGCTCTTTTTATAATAATGCATTATCTAGATGGCATAACTGAGTTCTCTGTTGGTTTGTTTTTGCAAGTTTAAAAAACAAAAACCCCACCAAAACACAAAGGTACCCTTAGTTTTTTGATTGAACGTGCTAAAATTTAATTTTAGATCTTTAGACATCAGCTTTCAAAATTATCTTGTGGATTTTTACTACCGGAGATAAGTGAATAAAGGCCTTCAGTGTCCTATCTCTGCTTTGTGGCATAACTAAAATTTTTCAGGAGAATGAGGCTTATATAATCATATTACATTCCTTTCTTTATCAAAATTTCTGGGGAAAGTAGGAAGCTACCTATTGTGTTACATGTGGTTAAAACTGGCTATTGCATGTAGAAGATGTTAAGCTTTTGTATGTTCTCTAAAAAATACGCAAAATATTCAGGTGCAAAATAGGTGCCTAACTACAGAGAACAGCTCAATTAATGCCTTTGCTTAAGGGAGGAATGAAAAATGTGCTTAACTTTTTATAGACACCAAAAGAATCAATTTTCTGTTCATTTTTCTCCTCTGTGAATTCTCTGATAGGTACTGATAAGAAAGAGCACTGCAGTCAGTTTAAGTGAGGACATAGTTCTGGGGCTCATGGAATGACTGCTGTTTCTTAACATAGCATAGCAACAGCCAGGTGAGGGTAGGGGCTAGATTTTAGCTCCTTTTCCTCCTTACCAGAAGAAAGGACGAATAAGTTGACCAAGTTCTCATTGGTTTAAGGGCATTAAAGGTAGCAAAGTACACTTGTCGTAACGGAGCTGATGTTTCAGGTGAAGCTTCATTCACTTTCTTTCACGTGTCCATGAATAGTTTGTTATTTGAATCCTGTCAATGGCAGATGGCAATCTGATCCTATCAGTCTGCTATACAGTGCAGAAGAGGATGTTCATTAATATCACAGACTCCACAGCTCAAGTCTATATTTTGATCCGTTGTGTTGCGGGCAAACATAGCTTGAATGATTCTAGAGGAAAGGTAAAAAAAGATCATTGTGGGGAAGGATGTTGTGTCAGCATTTGGAACCAGTGTATTTGGAGAAATCTGTCATTTTTACAGTGGAATTTTACGTGTGGATTGTTTCAATTTTTGTCTTCTTTCTTTAGACCTCAGGATGCCCACGGACCAGAACTGATACTACCTGCCAGTATTGAATTCAGGGAAAGCTGTGAGTAAATTGTGAAGTTATAACACTAACCTGTTGACACTAGTGTAATATTTCAGTCAGTTTGAAAACTTAAGGGTAACTTAAGTAAATATTGAAAAGAATAACGACTAAACAGATGATAGCTAATCCAGTACTATAATTTATTTTGTTGGGGAGGGTGAACAGACACTTCGGATATTGAGGCAGGTTCATGCATATCTAATTCTAATTGCATTTCAATTCTTTATCTTCAGATATTCAAATTTAACTGTGAAAAAACCTGTTAATCCCACCTCCTCAACAGTACATTGAATTCATTCTCTTCTATACTGTTCTCCATGCCTTGGATAATAGATTGCATCTTGGTCAAAATCCATTTTATAAAAAAACAGATTAGGTTTAAATTTTCATTTAGAATTTAATTTTTTGTTATCTTGGTCCCCAGGTTTTTAAGTTCTCAGATCTGGTAGAAAAATACCGTGCCAGAGATTGCCCACACTTCAAATATTTGAAACTAAATAGATTTGTGAGCAAGCAAACACAGATTTTTATTAGTATAAAATTCCCTATAATAAGGGAGTTTTGTAGGAATTGAACGGACAAGATAAAACTTGCATTTTCCTGTTCCCTTGAAGATGCAAATTTTCAGCAAAGGGATAGGAAATAGTACAGAAATGATTCCTGATGATCAGATTTTCTAGCTTTATATAGAAGTGTGGTGTTACTGTGCCTAAGTAACTGTAGTACATAATAAACAATTTAGAGTTCAAATTCCTGTAAGTTGCTCTGCTCTTCCCCCCTCCTCCTCCAAAAAGAAATCCTCTATGCCCCAAGTTATGAAATTGTTTTATTTCATTTTCTTTCTGTCTTTGGCTTTATGACATGTTTTTTTCCTCTTTCTCTACAGCTGAAGATGCCTTCTTATCTGCCATTATAAATTACACAAATAGCTCGACAGTTCATTTTAAGCTGTCACCTACATATGTTTTGTATATGACATGTCGGTATGTATTGTCAAGCCAGTACAGACCTGACATCACTCCTACTGAGCGTACTCACAAAGTCATTGCAATAGTCAACAAGATGGTGAACATGATGGAAGGAGTTATACAGGTGAGTTTCTCTGCAAAAACATGTCAAGGGAATTAAATACATTCTGTAGATTATCTAGTAACCTTCTTAGTCTTTTTCTTAGTGTTTAACCAACTATTGTTAAGGGTCAGACTTTGCATTGCATTGATTGCCCACGTGAAGGTTTGCTTTTGTGTCAATGAATAATGCGAATGGTAAGAAACTCGCTCCTGAGCAATGTGGGAGGTTAGGGAGGGGCTGTTGCTCTGAAGGTATGTTCTCTGACAAGAAGTTACTCTTCTGTTCTCTAGAAGGTAAGATCTTTGCAAGCATTTCTGGCCATGAGCTCTTGTAAAACAAGTTGGATGTGCTTATTAAAGAATATCGTATAGATAGCAGTTGTTTGCACTTGATGCTTGAAGTGAACATATTAAAAAGAAACATGACTCTTTCATTTTGATCCTGTTACTTTTACAACTTCTGTAATCACAAAAATGGCAATAAAACTGGACTTTTTGAACGAAGCTGACACAATTACTTTAAAAGAGAAACATAAGTTCTCAAATGTTCCGACATCTTATATGTAGTCTGATGCTATTGCTATTATGTGTGCAAGACATCTACAGAAGCACAGGGGGAGTTCTGTTTTGTGTAGGAATGCAGGATAAGATCCACTGGGTTGTCTGCGAAATTAGACAATACCTTGCATTGTGTAACTGTTGATAAAATGTAATGGTCATTTCCTGAAAAAGGAGTGCTAGTTCAGGTATCCTTACTAACTAATTAATTATTGTAGCTTCTTTGTCTGCAGGTTTTTCTCAGAGGAAAAATTGAAATGTATTTCTATATTTATTAAAACACACACATGTGTTGCAAAAAGTACTGCCATAGTAGCCCGTATAGAGCAAGGACCCTGCTGCGCTAGGTGCTGCACAAGCATAACAAACGCATCAGTCCTGCTTTAGAGAATTTACGATGCAAGTGTTATACAACAGGTTGATTAAGGGAGAAGAGGAAAGTAAACAAGAAGAGAGTGGCATAAAGTCACAGCAAACCAAAACTGTTCAGCTTTTGTTCAGGTTTTGGAAAGAGTTAGTGGAGTTTTCAGTAGGGAGAATGTTATAATTAGACAGCTCTGTAAACAGTTACAATAGGTTCTCACCTTTCACATGAAAGAATGGGAGAAAATGCTGGTGTTGAAGACACTTTACAGTAAGAAAACAAAGACTAGCCTTTCATGTACATTCTGAAGCTGATGAGAGGTTGAAAGGTGGTTTGAATCTGAAGTGAAGAACTAGCACGTTGCTTTGATTCTTGATGCCATGGTAAATGGATATTTGATAAAATTGAAATGGTATCAAAAGTTAAATATTCAGGTTCTGCTATTAAAAAAAAAAAAAGATCTGGCTGTGGAAGAGTGAATTTGTGAAAGTCAGGGGGGAGATTGTGGCAGTAGTGGAGAACATGAAATGCAAAGAGCCTGGACAAAAAGACTTGGGGTGACAGGGATGGGTACAGTGGGAAAGCAAAGATAAAGTTCTGCATTCTTTGTGTTGAACTAAAATGGATAACCATGTAGCTGCTAGAAGATATGAGAGAGGTGGGCTCAAACATCAGTTTGATTTGAAAACAAATCAAAGCTAGAAAGTAGATTATCCTGTGAAAACATTGATTTACAGCACTGAGAAGGGCTTCCCAAATCAGTCCAGCCTTCTGGTTGTTGAAAGCAAGTGTATTTTACATAATTGTGCTAATAGTATTACAAAACTGTTAAAACCAAGTGTTTGTCTAGACTGTCCTTTGGCTATTTCTACAGCCTTGCAACTCTATAGTTGCAGTCTAATCTCCAACCTAAAATTTAAGGAAGACATCAACAAGGAAGTGGTAGCTCCATTTGCGGTTTGTGAAAGGTGTTACCTAGTTGCAAGAAATAAACTGGAGAGAGTCGGAGGTTGAAGAAAATTGGGAGGAGGTTCTTCCAAATGTCATGCTGAAGAAGCTGGAGGAAAGGGGGAAAATTACAAATGGGATGAAAGAGTAGAACTTCAGTGAATTTCAAGGTTAATGGGCTAGAGACAAAGAAATTATTCTAAAGCTTGACCAGGAAAATGTCATTAGCTTAGACCTCGCTTAGTGGAGTATAAACAGTACTAGCTAAGCTAAGTCAAATTACTTCATCTAAGCTATAGAATGAGTGGTTATAGTGATGGCTGTCACAGTTAAACCACCATGTAATAAGTCGCTGCATCACAATCGCTTTTTTTGTATGTCTTGACTGTAAAGCATGCCTGCACTGAAAGGGATCTGAGGGTGTGAAGGACGGAGAAGACAGATGGGAGGCAAGGGGAGAGAGGCACCCAAAACAGAAGTAGAAGGAAGGTGCACAAACTCTTGTGCTGTACTGTGTGTAAACAAATTAATTCTTTAGATCCTAATTTTGCCTGCCTAGATCGTAAGGAGACTTGATAGCTTTCTGAAGTTACTCAAGGAGTACTTGCTAACAAATTGAGTCTGTGACTTTCTGTAGTCTTTGCATTACTGTATGCAAACATTATAGAAGACTTATATGAGATAGGGATAAAATTGGAGAGATCTATGAGAAGGCTCAGTGCTTTCAATAAAAATCTAGGAATAGAAACAATTCATATTTCTATCATTTTTGTATCCTGATTTTTTCCAAATCATTCTGTGGCATTTCTGATCCTCTGCAAATTTTAACATTTGTTTGTAGAAGGTGCATCTCCTTTTGTTCTGTGCCAACACATCTTCAGTCGGTTCAGAGTGCCTTGATTGGACAGGGGGAAGAAGCAAAAAAGCAGGGGCAATTTGGTTTTTTGAGCTCTAACTAAAATTAATAATAGTAACAACAAATGACACCTCAAATTTTTGCATCTAAGCTGACTGTGTTGCAAGTGGGGGAGTGGTCTGAATAGAAAGCCAAAAAGAATTAAGTAAGACCTCAGTTTTAAATAATCAGATAAACATATCTGGTGGGGTTTTTTTGTTTCCTTAACTCAGTGTAGCTTTTATGTACCAGCATATAAGCAGCTTAGTATGGTATTTCATTTAACTTTCTTTTGTTGTTTAAAGCAGTCTTTTTGTTCTTTAATTGAAAAGCCATGTATTAAATCTGTCCTAGGTGTTTTATGTTTTTTGTTTGGTTTTGTTTGTTTTTTGTTTGTTTGTTTTTTTTCTTGGTGGGGGTTTTCTGTCCCCCTTTGTGTTTGTTTGTACATTGTCTTCATTGCAGCAGTGTGGGCAAATAGCTCCCTTGGTCTGTTACTTGGATGGCTAGTTACCCCGTTGCCTGCAAAAAATTCTGTGGAGTTTCTGTGGTGCACTGAGCATGGAATAACCAACTAGTCTGGGATGTCAACTAGTATAGGGCATTCCTTGAATTAATTGTGACATGTGGGCACTTCAGTTCTTAGCTGTTGTGCTACTAGTCCTATTAAAATAATTCATTTTTTTAAAAGGGGCTCAGTTGCATCGTAGCTACTGATTAATGCATCTGTGTATAACTGTGAACATAAGTGTTGTACCTTCATATTTAGTGTTTGATTTCTAAAACTATCATGATTGTTCACAAGTTTCTTTCTTCTATTCTGTTTGATTTCCTTCGTCCGTTTTTCTCCAGGAGGTAGACCAGGTTGATCAGGTAGGATATATTGCTGGGAACTGATCCTAGCTATGTTGGCTTAGCTCAGTTTCTCATGCTGCTTCCATATCAAAATACAATACTCAAACAGCTGGACTTGAACAGTTCATAACACTCATTCAGCAACTGGAACATGCAGTACTAAAATCCTTTTTTGACTTTGCAACTTTTACGGCATTCCATAATTTCTGCTTAACGCACTTCAATGTGGATATGAAATGACCAAAGTTCTTTTTCTTCCCTTTATTTTCTTTTTTTGTTGTTTGTGGTTCCTATTCTTTGGATTTCATCTGAGGTTGCCTGGCCTGGCATTTGTGGTCGGGAGATGGTGAGATAGATCAGTACTTGATACTGAATCACCTGGTATCAAAGCCAGTGAGCCGCAGTATCAGGGTGGCAGTGGGCAGTAGTGAATATGCGCTTAAAAGTGCACAGATTACCAGATACTGCATTCCACGAAGCTCTTAGCACTATACAACTAGATGCTTATGCCATGGCTTTATTCATATGGCTATTGGCAATTTAATAGAATTTCGTATGTTCAGTGAACATGTTAAAATTGAACTTACCAGTTACAGCAATTACAATATTACATATAAACATTTTGCAAATATCTGGTATCTGAGATATGTTTGGTGAAATGGGAAAAGGTACTGGTCTATCTTGTGGAGCCTTTTTAAGCTGCTGTGCTTTAACAGAAAACTATTTTCCTGTATTATTTCTTGTTTCTTTCCACTTACAGAAACAGAAGAATATTGCTGGGGCACTTGCCTTTTGGATGGCAAATGCATCTGAATTACTGAATTTCATAAAGCAAGATCGAGATCTTAGCCGAATTACTGTGGATGCACAAGATGTTTTGGCACACTTGGTTCAAATGGCATTCAAGTAAGGCTATGAAACTTCTGTTTCACTTAACATACTCTGTTTCTGTGGTTTTTAGAATAACTTCACATTTTTGCCAAATTTTGGGTATAGCAATAATGTCTGTGTATTGTTAAATATCCGAGAGGAGGACTTACAGGAGAAGCTAGACTTACTTCTTTAGACAGATAGTTTGTTTTTTGAATATGGATCACTGAGCTATGCAAGGAGTTTCATCTGTTAGCTGTTCTTGTGATAGTTGAGGCTGCCAATGAAAATTTTAGGGAAATGTTATTTAAATTTAGTTTGTGTTGATTGCTTTCTTTTAATTTAAGGTTTTTATGGAGATGTGAGGGAAGGTTATTTTTGCTGTTAATATATAAGTACATAGGCTTAAATATTTATGGTCTCTAAAATAATGAACCTTGCACTCTTTAAGGTCTTTTAATTATATTCATAATCTACTCCTTTCGTAATTCACATAAATAGCAATTTGCACAGTGGTTTTTTTGCACAGTTTTTTCTTAAAAACGTAAAGATAGATTTTAGCTTGGGGTAAAATCAACCTATGCTAGTCAGCTCAGGTAATTACAATACTTAAAAGAAAAATTGAATGAAGTATCCTCTGAGGAAAGGATCCTCAAACAAAGATAACAACATTGAGTGAGCACAGTGCTAATCAGCAAGAAAGGCTTAATTTTTGTATATATTTAGATTTATTTTTCCCCCAAGCTAGTATTGAACAAGTTTTTCTCAGCAAATTTGTGCCTCTGAAACTAATGTTTAGAGAAGTCCTAGTGTACATTGGTTGACTTATACCTAGCCTTCCTCCACTTGTAGGATGTCTATTTTAAACATAGTCTTTTCATACTTCTGTAATAGCACAGAAAATAACCTTTCTTCTTTTTATACCGTGACAGGATTGGGAGGCCTAACCATGGTTTAACTGTTTAGCTTTAAAGGGGGCTTTATTACTCTAAAGAGCAATATGTAGTATGTGAATGTGGTATGTGAAACCTTATCATCGTTTTCTGAACTTCTGAAAGGTATCAGAGAAGCACCAAACTACTTTGTATGTGCTCCCACAGATTTTTTTTTTTTCTATTGCTGAATTATGGGAAAATAGGGTATAGCAAGTAGCTATTTTGACAGTGTCTTTCGAGTTTTATAGCACCTCTAAATTACTAACTGTTAATGAAGCTATTTTTGCCATAGGTCAGTGTTTTGGATTGGTGTCTTGAAACAACTCTTTGCTACTTCAATTTGCTAGATAGTCATTGAAGACAGAATATTTCTGTGGCTAGGAAGGAATGGCACTGTATTTTTCCCTGTACGTGATGATGAGCAGGCTGGATGCGAATGGGTATTTCTGAATTTTAGCTGTGTGTGAATTCTCCCCTAAGTACACTGTAACATGGAAGATTTCAAATGGATGTATTAAACTTTTGGAGAACAGAACTGTGGAATATATATTTAGAAGGCAAATAAAAAAGCACAACAGAAGCATGAAAAGAAAGAAATCTGCTGTGAAAATGTTGTTTGATGGTAGCAACTGGCATACGCCAGAATTGGTTGAAATTGCCATGGCTTCTGTTTCCTAGCAATTAAGGATATTTCATTACAAATGTTACCAGTGAAACAGAAAGGGGAGCTGTAGAAAGCCATAAAATGTTTTCCTTTATATATGTGCTTACAATTTGATTCCCTTTTAGTTTCAGTTCTTAAGAGAAAATGTATAAATGAATTATCAACAACAGTGTTAAAGAAAATGTTAAATTATTAGAAGCGATAGAATACTAAACCAGACATTTCACTGTAGTTAAAGGTAAGAGAAATACAAGAATCAAAAAATTGTTTACACAGAACACTAGGGCCATTTCAGGATCTTGTGCATTGGCTCAGAATAGGAATTTTTTTTTTTTTTAATACTACTCTTGCTAGATTTTAAAACAGAAAACTGTATTTCTGTTTGGAAAAAATAGTTTTTGCAATCTTACAGAACCAAAGTTTGGCCTAACAACATATCTTTATGTGGCATATGACCTTCGCTTGCAAGTGTGGTAGCGATATTGCATTGAAGTGGCTGTGTTTGACAGGCTGTTCCCTGACAACCTAATGCTTTTTCCAACATTTCTAGGAAAGGTGTGGGAGAACTGGTCTCTCTGGCCTTTTAAATATTATTTGGTTCCTTATAGTCACATACATAACACTGCGATTTCAGGAATCTTGTAATTTGGTAGATCCTTTTCTTTAGAAGCATTCATAATGAACACACACAGGATTTTAAAATTTCTTTTTTTTCCCCCTCCCTTCCAGGTACCTGGTTCATTGCCTGCAATCAGAGCTTAATAACTACATGCCAGCATTTCTTGATGATCCGGAGGAAAATAATCCTCAGAGGCCTAAAATAGGTTGGACTACTTGATCTTTTTTTGTCTTCTAAACCAAACAATTAATTAGTAATAAATAGACTGTTTCTTAACAGTGATATGACATTTACAAGTTGCCCTAACCCCTGAGAATTGTTTGGATCCATTTTGTATGGATGATAAGAAAGGACAATAGTGACATTCAAATGATCTATATTGGGTTTAAAAAGCATGGAATAATTTAGTTTGGAGGGGAACCTCTGGAGGTTGTCTAATCCATTGTCTTGCTCAAGGCAGGTGCAACTGGATCAGGTTGTTCAGAGTATTGCCCAGTTGAGTTTTGAATGTCCACTGAGGGGTGGAGATGCCACAACATCTCTTAGTAACCTGTTCCAACATTTGACCACCCTCATGGTGAAAATACTTTTCCTGTATCTAATTGCATTTTCCCATGTTGCAGTTTTTGTGTTGGTTTGTCTGTTGTTCTATGCTATCACTGTGCACCTTTGACAGGGATCTTGTTCTGAACCCTCCCATTAGGTAGATGAAGACAGCAAAAAGCTGTGCCCTTAGTCTTCTCTTTCCCCAAATGAACCAAATCCCCTTCTCTGCCCCTCTTTTATGTTCTTTTCTCCAGCCGCCTAATCATCGTGGTGGCTCTGTGCTGAATTTGCTCCATTAAATCGGTATCTTCCTTGTGCCGGGGAGTCTAAAACTGGATGCTGTTCTCCAGATGCAGTCTCACAAATGGTGAATGCAGAGGAAGGATTGCTTCCCTCCCTTCTGCTAGCTTCACTGCTGGTAACTTAACAGCTTAGTATGCAACTGGCTACCTTTCAAGCAAGGACACGCTGCAATTTGTTACCGGGATCCCTACATCGTTTTCAGCAGGGCTGCTTTCTATCGAGGTGGCACTCAGCTTCTACTGTTGCATAGGCCTATTCCTTCCCTGATGCAGGACTTGGCAGTTGCCTTTGAACTTTATGAAGTCCCTGTCAGCCCATTTCTCCAGCCTACTGAGGCCCTTCTGAAAAATACTGCTGCCCTTCAATGTATGAATATTTCCCCCCAGCTTGATATCATCTGTGAATTTGCTGAGAATGCACTCCATCCAATCACTCAGGTCATTAATAAAGTCATTAAACAATATCAGTCCCAGCCTCAATCCATGAGGGAAGCCACTAATAGCTGACTGCCAACTGGACTTCGTATCCACAAATCCACCAAGTCCAGTGATCCAGCCAATTCTCTACCTACATTATCATCTGCTTATCCAGTCCTTAGCTCAGCAATTTCACTATAAGGATACTATGGGAGAATCTGACAAAGGACCTCCCCTGTACTAAGGTTAAGCTGACTGGCCTTGTAGATTCTTGACAAGGATCGCTGCCATGATACTTTAAGTATGATAGTGCTTCGCAGCAATGTCCATGAGAGCATTCCGGTCATGTGTGCTATCCCACTATGTCTGTAATCCCAGCTCAGTGACTGTGCTCAGACTTCTAGCACCTCTTGTTGTTTTCAGTGCTGAACACATTCAGGCACAGGCCCCTGAGATAGGAACCCTGCTGTGCTTTTCATGGGGAAAGTGTGAGAGCCTCCTACATTATGTAGCCTGATGAATAAAGAAGAAAATAGAAAAAATATTCAAGTTTGAAGGGATTAACTGGGGATGAAAGGTTAGGAAGAGTTAAGAAGATAATGACATTCTGAATAATTGCAGTAAAGATGATCGGCAGAGCTATTAAGTACAGTCATTCTGTTCAACTATGAAGAGTATTTATACAGAATTCATGTGTGCTTCCTGGTCTTTTGGGTATTAAGCTTGCTTCAGTTGCTTTTTTCCTGTGTTGAATATTAAAGGAAGAATAAGAAGATGTACTGTTTTGGTTTTAGTGCCCTGTACTGTAAGAGAGAGAACTTTCTGGGGCACAAACCCTGAAAAAGTAGCAAACTGACATTGGAATAAAGGCAGATGATGTTCATTATTTCAGTTATTTTTGAGCTGCTTTATAGATTTCTGTCCTATACAGATAATTTTTTTTTTCAGTCACAATCCTGCATTTCAATGCTAAAGAAATTAATTTGGTGGTCTCTTCAATAAAGATTTCAGGTAAAAGTATTGCCTTAAAAGAAGGCTTGGAGATAAATGTTCTACTTGCATTAATATATTCCACCAGGAGTCACCTAAGGATGTTTGCTTTTGGTGAAGCTAACAGGAAGGCTCTCTTCTTTCTTACATAATATTGCAGTGAACTAATGGGCAAAAGGAAATTTGGATAATATTTTTAAAAAGTAATGTGTAAACAGGAGATGGGTTCTGCAGTTTAAGTACATCATGCAATACAAATAGTTTTTGCAGAAATTTTTGAATACAGTTTGATATTTAACTGCAAGGAGATGGAGTAATGGAATAATTGCAATATGCATTTGAAAGAGTAGAATATAAATTGTTATTAAATGTGACAGAAAAATAAGTTTACTCAAGTGAGGACATGATTTAAGTGTCAGATGTAACCAACGATATACTTGTATACTAAATATTTCCCCAAAAAAATTTATTTTCATTTCAGGAGTTAAAAAACATATTTCAGCTATTAGTTTGATGTTGCTCCGTCTTGAAAACCATGAAGCAGTAAATTTATTTCTGAAAATCTGTATAACTTAAACACATGTAGGTTTCACCTAGCTTTCACCAACCTGGGTTAGGTGTCTCTGTATTATTATTTATGGCCTAAACCAGTTGTACATTGCAGTATGTGAATGTGATTTACTTTTTGTTTTATCTCTGTAGATGATGTGCTGCATACATTGACTGGCGCTATGTCCCTTTTGCGACGATGTAGAGTGAATGCTGCTCTGACTATACAACTCTTCTCCCAGCTGTTTCATTTTATCAACATGTGGCTTTTTAACAGATTAGTTACGGCCCCAGATTCAGGGTTATGTTCACATTATTGGGGAGCTATCGTTCGTCAACAGTTGGGTCATATTGAAGCCTGGGCAGAAAAACAGGGTTTAGAATTGGCTGCTGATTGCCACCTGAGCAGAATAGTGCAGGTGAGTGTGTGTATTTCTGATTAACACTTCTCAAATAATTGTATATTCAAGGAGGATATTTGTATATTCTGTGTTCCTAGAGAATAGCATGTGGACAAGTGTAGTTTGTGTGATTAATCCTGGAATATTGAGGTAGCATGCAAAGACACAAAATATGTTTTCAACATGATTAATATTTAAGTTACAAGTGAAATTAATAATTAGTGATTTTAGCCAACATGCTGTTCAGTTTCTAAGACTGAGCTATAACTATGCTGAACAGAGACAAGAAGAGTAGCTGAAAAATTGATATGCCTCATTTATGATACGTTTAGTATTAATTCGTCTTGTAGGTACAGGAGATATATTTAATGGTTGTTCAGGGGATATTTATGTTGCTTCTGTAACAAGTCTGGCTTCATGCTTTGTTTTTTCCTATGTCTCATCTAAAGAAAACTCACAAACAAGACTTAAGGTTTCATTCTGGTTTGGATTTGTCTCCTGTGACTTTTTTCTCTCCTAGGCAACCACATTGCTTACCATGGACAAATATTCAAATGCAGATGTTCCAAATATTAACAGTACTTGCTTTAAGCTGAATTCTCTGCAGCTACAAGCTTTGTTGCAGAATTATCACTGTGCTCCAGATGAACCACTCATCCCAACAGTAAGTCTCTTCTATCACTTACTGTGCTGTTTAACGTACCTGAGGAATATAGACTTAAAGTAAAAACACTGGCTGAAAATAGCTATCTTATTGTTGATTGGTTTGGAATTGTTACGAGAAGAGTCAGAGTGGGCAATCTGCTCTCCATACAATAAGAAGTATCAGTGGTATCAGCCTGCTTCTGGCCACAACTTTGGTGGTCGTACTTCACTGCAACTCGAGCAGGATATCAAAAATCTCTTTTATGCTGAGTTAGAATGTAAGGTAACACTGCATGTTGAGCATACTCAGAGAGGTGTCACTGCACCTTTAATACCATTTGTGGATGAAATCCAGTAAGGCGGTAGAGGAGAAGTGCACAGAGCACTCCCAAAAGCTAGTTCTATGTATAACCACAAGGAACAAAGATTGAAATTTTGACTATAGAAATCAAATGGAAGAAGCAGGAATACTAAGCTTTTTTACATGTGAGATGTAAAAATCCATGAATCTTGAATTCCTTCATATAAGCAGCGGACAGATTGTCCTTTGATGGACAGATTAATGCATGGAACATGTATGGAGAGAGAGGGAGAGAGAGAGAGATGGATGTTGTTTTCAGAATCGTTTTTTATCTTGATATTTAAGACTCAACTGACTATTCTAAGTTTTACCCATGGGAAACATCTTTTTAGCAAAAGTCCAAAGAGGTTTTGTGTTCCTTGCAGAATTGTAATCATATGTGGATGAAAACTCTTAAGGTAAACCCTGATTACAGCATAGTTGACTGATCTCAGAAATCTTAAAAGGTGAAGATAATCTAATATTTATATAACTGAATGCATTGTCTACAAAGTCTATTTTTTAATAACTTTGGATACATCTGTTTATTAAATCAAAAGTACTAATAGAATGGTTCTAAAGGTGTTAAGGGGGACTTGTAGCTTGGATATATTTTTATATATTGGCTACCAAACCAAAAAGTCTTTTGCTGAAGAACATAGCTTATATTTCCTGTTTACACATAAGTAGAATTCCACAGTTTATTATTATTGTTTTTTAGGGACCTCCAAAGAAATATAGTGCAAGATTTGACAGGTCTTCTTTGTGTCAGAGGGAGGATTACAATATGGCTAGTTTGTCCTGTTGTAGTGAAGTGGTATTTGGGACTTCTTTGCTTCTTGCTATGAAAGACTTGTACACTCAAACTCTGACTTAATGCTGCCAAATCTGAAAAATTTCAAGGCTTGGAATTTGTTCAAAGGAATATAAATGTATTTACTTCTATGTACTTCAGTTTGATGTAATTCTTTTAAAAATTAGCACCTTTTATGGTAAAAAGCCCCTTCTCAAAAAGCGCTTGTAAAGACAGGCTGCGTTTATCTGACTTCCCCCTGGAAATTTGCTGAAACTGAACATTCAGATGGGAACACTTGTATGGTTTTGTCTCAACTGTCTTCTGCATTGTGCTCCAGTAATAAAATTGTTGTATCAGGCTTACAGATTCTGAGTTGCACGTTAGTGTAACTTGTGGTGAGACCAAACTGTTAAGCTGGTCTTGGGAGCCAAGTAGAAGCCATAGAAAGAGACTGGAAATCACATCTGAGTCTTTGGTAAAGCAAATACTTGTAGTAAAGGAATCAGTATGTAATATTTGTAGCAGCTTCAGATAAATTAATTGTAGTAATTCTGTCTTGATGCCAGCAAAAGCACACATCTCTGGGGTAAGTTCTCTTCCAGAAAAAATGCTGGTTAACTAAAGGTAAAGATACTTTTAAGTATTGATGCTGCCTGCTCATTCAATCGTAGTGGTGAGTCAAACCTGGGGTGATTTCTTGGTTCCTAAGGCAGAGCATGCAACTTGGAAGAGACTGAGTGCTCAGAGAATTACATCTTTTTAAAAAGTTGCCTGTGACTTTTTTTTATTTCACTTAAAAACTGAATACTTTCATGCTAAAACTTAGGCCAGCCTAAGGCATATAAGGTAACAGAAAAATGGAGGAACTGCTTGAGGAGAGAGGAGAGCCTTTTCATTGTGCACTCTTGAGTAATTTGGGATAAATAGAAGAATGTAGAAACACAAAGTGCTGCTTAGACCTTTACTTTTTGCGAAGTTGTTAGGAATCTGATTTTTTGTTAACTTCTGAATTATCTAGTAACAGATAATCCTACTGAAATCTTACAGAGCTCTCTGTGTGCTACGTGCAATCACAGTAGCTACATTGTGAAAAGTACACTGGTTTCATAGAGGTTTTTGTGATATTAAGCAGAACAGTTGTGCACCAAATGTAAAACTTAAGTTCCCTGCCGCACCTTGAGTGATCCTACTCTTCTGTTGTATTCTTCTACAGTGCTATTTAAAAAATAGGTATCTACCTTAAGTGATCCTTCACATTATATTGAGCTCCCAGGAAATGTAGAATTAAATTAGTTCTATAAAACTTCCAAACTAGGGAACTGTATATGACATTGGTCCTCTCTGGGTATATGTGTCCTGATGGAGCTGAAACTGGTTTACACAAGTTGTCTGTTTCCTTTCTATATATTTAGTCTTACAGAAGTATATATACACTCAACAAAGTGTCAAAATTTTATAGCTGCCTGTGATTCCACCTCTGTACACATATGTTCTCTGCTATATATTTTTAAATACAGCTTTCTTAACAAGTAAAAACATGCACCACAAGTTTTGAAAATATTGAAGTAAAAATAAATGCTTCTGTTATATACTCTAACTACATAATCTATGGGATTTAATCAAATGAAGCAATGCAGCGTACTGACTGTACACAGTGGAGCCGAAGAAGTTTTATATCTGATAATTTATTTTCCAAATTCCTTTTTCTTGCAGTCTTAGTATTTTCTTAATGTTAGTTTTTTCCTTAATGAAAATTATCCCTTTATAGTAACAATGTCTTTCTGCCTTCTGTCCAGGAATTGATAGAGAATGTAGTAACTGTTGCAGAAAATACAGCTGACGAACTTGCTCGCAGCGATGGCCGAGAAGTCCAACTGGAAGAGGATCCTGACTTACAGCTGCCTTTTCTTTTACCAGAAGATGGCTATTCCTGTGATGTCGTCAGAAATGTTCCAAGTGGTTTACAAGAATTTTTAGATCCACTCTGTCAGAGAGGTTAGTTCTATGGTTTTACAATTACCATCTTTTTTTGGTGTAGTGAACACAGAATGCAAAATATATTTTAATTAAACGTAAACTACTTCCTTTTTCTTTATGTATGTTTCAATCTTTTATACTGTGTTCTTCAAGTGTTTACTTTTGCAACCCATAGAAAGTATGCAGGATTTTTTAACCCTTCCTCTTGGTCCCTTTCATTCACTTTCAAGGTTCTAAATAAGCAGTGCTGAGTTACTAGTGACTACTGAAACTTTGCACCAGAGCTTTTTTGGATTTTGGTGCTAGAGCAGCAAAAATTTACATAAATGTAAATTTTGTAATACTTCAACAATTTCACAGTCAACTTACTTTTAAAGCTAATGTGAATTGAATAGTTAAGTCACTTTTTTTACTCATCAACTGCTTCCATATAACATTAAAAACCCATGAGCTTAAAATAGTTCTTTTAATGTTCATCAATGTAAGAATGTATGGTTTGGGCATTTGTAGTCCAACAAAATTTCAGATTATAGAATCATTAAGGTTGGAAAAGA